ACGCGTTGAAGGCATTGGTATTGAAAATGAATTAGATCTCCAGATATAAAACGAGTGTTAAAATGAGCCACACAGTCACATTAAATCTGATTGCTGTGCTCCTGAGGGTATATGCATGTCAGCTGTTTGGGCTACAGTGAGTGATCATCATGATGATGATGGTGATGGCGATGATGACTGTTATTATGTTTGTGTTGATGTTTTCTCTTTTAAACAGTTATGTTAACCTACGTGTCATGTGTTGACAGTTGTCAAGATGGTACCGGGGAAATACCTCCATGTGATGAGAATGACAAGGACGTGTATGAATCAGATTCATTCTGTGGAATAATCATTGACGATGAGGGTGGGTATTGTTGTCTGTTATGTTTAGCTGTCACTGCACGTTCACGATTGATTTCTGAAAACTCCACCTAACAATCGACTTGATGAGATTGAAGTCATGGCATTTCCACTCCATGTATGTGTATCATCGTAATTTTAACTGTAATAGCTATTATAGTCTGCGCATTCATTATTTTGTTCCATTTTTAACGTGACATTAAAACAAATATAGGCTACAAAGCTCTTCTGCACACAGGTTTCTTCTAAACTCTTTTCTAAGCTACGTTAAACATTCCTGAACATGATGACATGACATGATAAGATGTTGTTCATAATCTATGGTCGCTAAAAGATTACAACTGGCTGCCAGACTTTTTAATGACTGATTCAAATTTCACTTGACATTGACTTTTGTCACGCTGAGGAACTCCGATCACCGAATTCAGTGCCGAATGCAATCCACTGCATCACCATTTCCCTAAATACTGCAATCCTGTAGTCGTGTTGAAGAAGAGTGATGTGCCAATGCTGCTAACACTGACATCGTATTTCTCGCTTCGATCAGGAGCTTTCAAAGAGTGCCATGCGGTGCTGCCTCCACAAGTCTTCTTCGACAACTGCGTGTTCGACCTGTGTGCCACGGACGGGGACCACGGCTCGCTGTGCCAGGCCCTGCAGGCCTACGCCGACCAGTGCGCCCAAGCTGGGGTCATCGTCACATGGAGGAACAACACCTTCTGCCGTGAGTGCAGATGCTGTTAATCACTGTCTGAACTTTTGGCTCTTGAGTTATGAGCAGAGGTACAAACATGTCTCATCATATAATAATAATAATAATATCACTGTATAGCATCTAAATACCTGAGCACACGAAGATGCTGTACTGGGTAATGTACAAGAACATAAATAGCTCATTCAGACAAAATCAAGGGGGGTTCGGCAGATGGAGAAGCCACATGACACCGTGCACATCCGTTTTCTTCGGACCGTGCTTGCACCTATCCAGCTGTCTGTGCTTTAGTCTCCATTAGTGTGTGACCTACCTGCTTAACGTTTAACTTCCATATTCTGGTAACATGTGCACTGTGTGTGTGCGCGGGTGTGTACACGTGCACGCATATACGTATTTCAACTTAGCCCCCCCCCACGGCCCTTCCTGGCTCCTCCCCCCCCCTTAACCTGTATATAACCTCGGGTATCTTAGAGCTCTCTTCACTTGATACAGCAATTTTGCTGCAACGGTTTCCACCTGAAGACGGAAGCTTGTGTTGCCTCCAAAACGTCGTGATTTAATTTAGTTGTTTTCATTTATTTTATTTTACCTACGTGACTTTACCGAAAAAACCAAAGAGTATGAGTCCTTGCAGTCATGAAAGCTTCAAATCTAAAAGTATTTAAATTCCTTCTGTGAAAGTGAGAAACTCAATGATGGCTAGTTAATTGTTCTCACATAATACAAGCATGTGCCACATTTGCTGCAATTTTTTGGGGGGTTTTGCACAGAGTAAGATTCATTCTTTGAAGATTAAAAACTTACTAATCTTATTAAAATATCTAAAAACCGAGATAAATTCTGGGCATTTTAAGCTGTTGTCTGCATGACAAATAAATAACACAGCAAATTACAAACATTCAAGACTTCAAAAAATGCATCGTTTGTGACACCCACAGCATTCCCATGTGAACCGGGCAGCCACTATGAGAGCTGTGCCCCACCGTGCCCGGCCACTTGCAGCAACGCAAGTCTCCCGGGTGGCTGCAACCAGCAATGTGCAGAGGGCTGTGTCTGCGACGACGGCTTCGTTCTATCTGGGGACAAGTGTGTCCCCGTGGAGCTGTGCGGCTGCCTGGACTTTGACGACCAGTACCATCCGGTCAGTTAATTGATTTTGCATGACCAAGCAATGCATGTAATTGGTTACAATGTCCTGTCTCATGGTTTTGATGAAATTGAGTTGTGTGCAGTAGAATACATTGATGTCTCGTGTTTCAGAAAGAAGTTGTGTTTATATGTATTGATTAAGTTGAGTGGCTTTAATAAGACAATACGCTTTTTAAACAATTCAACTTGCAAAGTCAATCTTGTTCCAGCATCATCTAATGTTATCACTCTATCTCCGCAGCGGTGATACTGTTGGTTTCCATTCCGTCAGTCTCATCCATTAATTATCATTTCATTCCAGCGATGTAACCTGCCCAAGTCCACTTACTTTTCTTAAAAGTCAGTATTAATTACAGTTCTGTATATTTTTTCTGGGGATATGGTTTGCGATGATGTCGCACACTGTGAACGATCGCTACCCTGACGAGTAGGCAGTGGTGGCAGGGCCCTCCTTCCATGCTGCTGATGAAGCGGCAGTCGTCTGGCTCTGCAAAACGAGCTCACTGATCCACGTGTTCTCCTTTTTCTCAATGTGATTCTCAGCCTGCTTATCCACACTTATTGGTATATATTTGACGCAAAAATGCAAGCCTAACTTTGTACTTACAGTGAGGGAAAAAGTATTTGATCCCCTGCTGATTTTGTACGTTTGCCCACTGACAAAGAAATGATCAGTCTATAATTTTAATGGTAGGTTTATTTTAATATTGAGAGACAGAATAACAACAACAAAATCCAGAAAAACGCATGTCAAAAATGTTACAAATTGATTTGCATTTTAATGAGGGAAATAAATATTTGACCCCTCTGCAAAACATGACTTAGTACTTGGTGGCAAAACCCTTGTTGGCAATCACAGAGGTCAGACGTTTCTTGTAGTTGGCCACCAGGTTTACACACATCTCATGAGGGATTTTGTCCCACTCATTTTTGCAGATCTTCTCCAAGTCATTAAGGTTTCGAGGCTGACATTTGGCAACTCGAACCTTCAGCTCCCTCCACAGATTTTCTATGGGATTAAGGTCTGGAAACTGGCTAGGCCACTCCAGGACCTTAATGTGCTTCTTCTTTAGCCACTCCTTTGTTGCCTTGGCCGTGTGTTTTGGGTCATTGTCATGCTGGAATACCCATCCACGACCCATTTTCAATGCCCTGGCTGAGGGAAGGAGGTTCTCACCCAAGATTTGACGGTACATGGCCCCGTCCATCGTCCCTTTAATGCGGTGAAGTTGTCCTGTCCCCTTACCAGAAAAACACCCCCAAAGCATAATGTTTCCACCTCCATGTTGGACGGTGGGGATGGTGTTCTTGGGGTCATAGGCAGCATTCCTCCAAAGAGCTCCATTTTGGTCTCATCTGACCACAACACTTTCACCCAGTTGTCCTCATTCAGATGTGCATTGGCAAACTTCAAACGGGCGTGTATATGTGCTTTCTTGAGCAGGGGGACCTTGCGGGTGCTGCAGGATTTCAGTCCTTCACGGTGTAGTGTGTTACCAATTGTTTTCTTGGTGACTATGGTCCCAGCTGCCTTGAGATCATTGATAAGATCCTCCCATGTAGTTCTGGGCTGATTGCTCACCGTTCTCATGATCATTGCAACTCCACGAGGTGAGATCTTGCATGGAGCCCCAGGCCGAGGGGGATTAACAGTTCTTTTGTGTTTCTTCCATTTGCGAATAATCGCACCAACTGTTGTCACCTTCTCACCAAGCTGCTTGGCAATGGTCTTGTAGCCCATTCCAGCCTTGTGTAGGTTTACAATCTTGTCCCTGACATCCTTGGAGAGCTCTTTGGTCTTGACCATGGTGGAGAGTTTGGAATCTGATTGATTGATTGATTGCTTCTGTGAACAGGTGTCTTTTAAACAGGTAACAAGCTGAGATTAGGAGCACTCCCTTTAAGAGTGTGCTCCTAATCTCAGCTCGTTACCTGTATAAAATACACCTGGGAGCCAGAAATCTTTCTGATTGAGAGGGGGTCAAATACTTATTTCCCTCATTAAAATGCAAATTAATTTATACCATTTTTGACATGCGTTTTTCTGGATTTTGTTGTTGTTATTCTCTCACTGTTCAAATAAACCTACCATTAACATTATAGACTGATCATTTCTTTGTCAGTGGGCAAACGTACAAAATCAGCAGGGGATCAAATACTTTTTTCCCTCACTGTAGGCATAATTTTCGATTTAAAGCTTTCGTGACAGCAGGGATTCATCTTCTTGGTTCTTTCGGTAAAGCCACGTAGAAGGGAAATAATAAAATAATAAAAATAACATTCTCACGTTTCGGCCACAACACAAGTAGCCTTCCTCAGGTGAAGAAACAGAACTGTCGGAAAGACAGTGCTCCAATGAACACTGCTAAGCTTGGCAGCGGATTTTAAGCTGGGTGGGAGGAGCAGAGTGCCTTGACAAAGGAGTTTACATATCAACAGAAGAATTTAGCATTGAAGTAGCTGTGTTAATGTGGTAGATTAGCAGGATGTTAAAGTCAGAAATTAGCACGTAACTGGGAGATTAGCATGATGTTAGTGTTGAGGGATTAGCATGTAACTGGTCAAGGAAGTAGCTATGTTAAAGTCAGAGTTTACATATCAACAGAGGCATTTAGTATATTGACGCTAAATAATTGCAACTACCCAACTATCATACAATAAACCGATGTGAAAGAACTAAATATAAACTACATCAATATAATAAATGATTGCTTGTGTTGCAGTCGAAACGTCGTGGGAATTTTATTTATATATTTATTATTTTATTGTTTCCCTTCTACGTGACTTTACCGAAAGAACCAAGAATATAAAGTAACTGCGTATACACTACACTATATAATGAATACCATATAGTAAACTGTAGGCATAATGTTAACAGAGTTTCTGTCTCTGATATGCAGATTTACATATAATCCATCCTGCTAGTCAACAATTTCTGTATTGGTCATTAAATTTGGATCAATGTAAGTTAATGATATTTTGAGTTCTCTGTTTATGTGATCCATGAGCCAGACTTACCTTTAGCCCAGAGTCCTTGATTCTCACAGTAGGACACCTACGCGGTCACGTGTAAGATGAATTCAGCATTATCAATATAAATATTACTCACTCATTGATGGGCAATGGATAATGTTGCTCACGCACTGGACATTTGTTCACTCTTTCTCCCATATGTAATATTTTCTCAGTATCGAATGTAAAAGAGGCAGCAATTCCTCTCATCCATGATATCACAAGCTTTGAATACTCTGTATTCCTCGAAATGATACTTTAAGGATTAAGTAAGCAAATAGGCATGTATGCCTGAGTGATATTGTCAGAGTATGGGGGAAGGCCAGTTAAACAATATATATATTTTTTATCATCTGTGTTGCGCGTGGCAGCTCGGGGAGAGTTGGTTTGAGTCGGGGAACTGCAGCAGGCGCTGCACGTGCTTGGGTGTGGGAGACGTCCACTGCGAGGACTGGGAGTGCGAGGAGCACGAGGTCTGCAGCGTGGAGGACGGCATCCTCGACTGCTACGCACGAGGTGAGTTACTGCGTGGCGTCACAAATGAGGAAAGCCATGACGATCCTCTCACAGGGCGAGAGAGAGACAGAGATGTTTATACAGCCAGGTTCGAGGGAAGTGTGGTGTTTGATGGAATACCTGGAAAAATAGAAATCAATACAATCTATAGGGCTCCAAGAACTAATTATACAGCCTCATTCAACCGAAAAACTACAAATATTTTAAATGGACACAGTAAATAAACTTTGAATTCAATACAATATTGAATGGATCGTCTTGTTTTAAACCAAGTGTTAATCTGGGAATAAATAGCTAATGCTTTGAATGACTCGTAGAAATGTAATTTGCTGTGGTTGACAGATAACAGGAAAGGTAACATTTTGTCCTTTGATTTTTCTTGAAGAAACAACAACTACCGCTCCTCCTCTGGTCTCAACAACAACTTCAAAACCACCAACAGCCCCGCCACTGAGTAAAATATTCACTAAAGACATTCTCCTACAATCACCCTACACTGACAAACCTTGCTTGTTGAATGCATTGTTTACGTTTTTGTTTCAAAAGATACTGCTGCATTGGGCTCTTCATTTATATCAAACAAAATGATCTGATAGAGCAGCATAAGTCATCACAACACATTATTACATAGCTCCTCTATTTTCAGAACCTGGTGACTGCGTGATCTCTGGAGACCCTCACTACATCACGTTCGACAAGACGACGCACCACTTCATGGGCGAGTGCACCTACACGGTAGCCACCCCGTGCAACCAGAGCTCCACCCTGCTGCCCCACTTCAACGTGGAGACAACAAATGAGTTCCGGGACGGTAGCACGGCCGTGTCTTACGTCAAGGAGGTCCACGTGGAGGTCTACGGCCACAGGTTCACCTTGGCCAAAGGACGCCGGGTGCTGGTGAGGGTTTCACGTCATCCTGTAATTGTTATTTGCACAGAGCCGGTGCGTGCCATTCAGGAACCATCGCCACAAAGCACAACACTCTCACACACTGCTCTCTCAATAACTATAATGTTCCTGATGATTACTTCATTGCATTGTCCTAGAGAGCCTTCCATTTTCAAAAACATTTACTTTGAATTTAACAATGTCCACGGTGTTGCCTGATGCTTATAAGAGGCTTCCTTATCTGGGACTTAGGAATTGTCTCTGCCTGTGTGTGTGCCTTGGTGTCTCCGAGTGTGCGCTGCGACTTCCTCCGCAGCCCCTGTGTGACAACTCGTGCCCTCTGCCCGCATCGTCCTTAAATATGTGCTCTCTTCATCCTAATTTGTGTCCCATTGTCTCTGATTCCCAGCCCCGCCGTCTCTGTCTATTTAAGGCTTCGGCACAGAGATGCTGCTTCACTTCTTCACTGTGTGCGTGTCTCTTCCCATTTGTCTCTTTGCGGTCTGTGTTCTATCACTCTCTTAAATTTCACACTTAACTTACAATTTAGCAATCTTTGAAATAGCGTAATCAACCAGACCATGCGTTAATTGTGTTTTAACCGACTGTCTGTGTTGCTTTATATAGTTTCCAAATTTTGCTAAACCCCGTTTGATTTAGTGTGCTCCTCCGTCTCTCTGTGTCCCCTGGTGTGTCTGTGTTAATTCCCTCTACTTAGGGTCTGTATATATATCTCTGCGGTTATGTGTTTCCTCTCTCTCTTAAATTTAGCTCTTCTGTACCTGATGATGATTGCTTGTGTTGCAATCGAAACGTCGTATGCTATTATATAATTTATTTATTTTATTACTTCTACGTGACTTTACCGAAAAAACCAAAGAGTAATTCCTGCAGTCACGAAAGCACCTAATCAAGTTCGACCAAATATATGTGAACATTTAAGCCATGTTTATGCTTTGACTCTTTGGTGGAAGAATGTCGATGTTGACAAAAAAATAGTGGAGGACCTTTACATAATGAATAAAAACAATCCTTTCTGTACTTTAATCTACCATGCATTACTGATCCTACCATGATGATTCTACATAAAATGCTCTATGTTTTGTTTACAGGTGGATGGGCTGCGTGTGACTCCTCCGATCTTCATGTCAGGGGTGTACATCCAACTGAGTGGATCCTACGTTGTGCTCGAGACCGATTTCAATCTGGTTGTTCGGTTTGATGGGAACCACCATGTGGAGATAGTCGTGCCCGGAGAATACGCAGGAGAACTGTGTGGCATCTGTGGTGAGCTGATTTCCTGAGAGAAGTGACACAATAAGCAGCTGACTAGACACTTGTAGAATGAATAACATCTCAACGTGATTGTAGTTGACAAATAATGCAGGCGTGATGATAGTTTCATCTCTTTTGGTCCCATTTGAATATCATTTAAGATCCGAGTTCATAAGGACAAAGTTACAGATGCCTCAGCTAATGAGAGTTTAGCATTTGTAAAAAGGCCACAGATATGTAATTATTTATAAATACGTGTACCGTATTTTCCCGCATATAGCCCGCATACGCATATAACCCGCAGACGCATATACCCCGCAAAAATAGCGTTTTGTGTAAAACAAATTTCAGATAGCCCGCACCTCCATATACCCCGCATGCATTCATATCTATAACGTCGTTACTGCAGCTTAATTCCATCAGATTAATACAAAGTTTACATTTGCAATACATTTTACTATCAATTGTTAACATTACAATCATAACGTACACAAAGATAACAAACTAACCGGAAACTAGTGAACTTAAACAGTAAATAAGTAACAAAAGTAAATATCCAATAAATAAGTAACACATAACTGGTAGATAAGTAAGTACGTGTCCTGTTAGGCTTACCAGCATTCGACCTCATCATATTACAGCTAATGGACCGGTAGTTACCCCTGTACAGTTTTAGCACTGCGCAGACAATAGCGGCACAACGGTAACGCCATTGCCTCCTGGCAACAAAGTCATTGGAAGTTTGAAACAAAGCTCATGGTCGTGACTGTATAGTGCTCAGCTAATAGCAGCGGCCTAAGGGACTCAGCAATTATGATTCCGCGTCTGGTAGACGCTTGTTAAGGCCCTTCCCATTGTGCAATAGCCTCAGCTGAAACTTTCGCACCCCCCTACAGCCACTGAGAGTATTACGGTAAACAAAGTGCGCCCACCTCAAACATTGTCATTTCATTGCACATGTGCAATTTTAGTGTGAGTGGTTTATTCAGCAGTGCTTTAGTCAAAGGTAGGTGTTGTATAGTGGATAGTCCTACCATGAAAACATTAAACGAGTTATGATATGTCACACGTGTACAATATTTTTGGGATTGTCCGCACCTCCGTATACCCCGCAGGGTCTTGTTTTGTTTGTAAAAAGTGGTATACCCTGCGGGTTATATGCGGGAAAATACGGTAATCTCATTAAAAAAGAGAATATGTGCTTGCACGTCCTACAGTAGCATGTCCGTTGTTGTTTTTTTCAGTTTTACATGTAAACCATGTCTATCGAAACTCGTATATTGCAATGCTTTGTGTTGTTTTACAGGGAACTTTAATGGAGATGGCTCAGATGACAATCTGAAGCCTGATGGGTCAGCAGCAGCCTCATCAAACGAGCTGGGAAACAGCTGGAGAGTGTTCAACAGCTCCGATGATGAGTGAGGATCCGTTCTTCTCAGTTATCTCTATGCGTGACTGCTAATTACAACAGTATCATCCAAAAGCCTTTGTGAAATACGCGTTGAAGGCATTGGTATTGAAAATGAATTAGATCTCCAGATATAAAACGAGTGTTAAAATGAGCCACACAGTCACATTAAATCTGATTGCTGTGCTCCTGAGGGTATATGTATGAGTGTCAGCAGTTTGGGCTACAGTGAGTGATCATCATGATGATGATGGTGATGATGACTGTTATTATGTTTGTGTTGATGTTTTCTCTTTTAAACAGTTATGTTAACCTACGTGTCATGTGTTGACAGTTGTCAAGATGGTACCGGGGAAATACCTCCATGTGATGAGAATGACAAGGACGTGTATGAATCAGATTCATTCTGTGGAATAATCATTGACGATGAGGGTGGGTATTGTTGTCTGTTATGTTTAGCTGTCACTGCACGTTCACGATTGATTTCTGAAAACTCCACATAACAATCGACTTGATGAGATTGAAGTCATGGCATTTCCACTCCATGTATGTGTATCATCGTAAGTTTAACTGTAATAGCTATTATAGTCTGCGCATTCATTATTTTGTTCCATTTTTAACGTGACATTAAAACAAATATAGGCTACAAAGCTCTTCTGCACACAGGTTTCTTCTAAACTCTTTTCTAAGCTACGTTAAACATTCCTGAACATAATGACATGACATGATAAGATGTTGTTCATAATCTATGGTCGCTAAAAGATTACAACTGGCTGCCAGACTTTTTAATGACTGATTCAAATTTCACTTGACATTGACTTTTGTCACGCTGAGGAACTCCGATCACCGAATTCAGTGCCGAATGCAATCCACTGCATCACCATTTCCCTAAATACTGCAATCCTGTAGTCGTGTTGAACAAGAGTGATGTGCCAATGCTGCTAACACTGACATCGTATTTCTCGCTTCCATCAGGAGCTTTCAAAGAGTGCCACGCGGTGCTGCCTCCACAAGTCTTCTTCGACAACTGCGTGTTCGACCTGTGTGCCACGGACGGGGACCACGGCTCGCTGTGCCAGGCCCTGCAGGCCTACGCTGACCAGTGCGCCCAAGCTGGGGTCATCGTCACGTGGAGGAACAACACCTTCTGCCGTGAGTGCGGATGCTGTTAATCACTGTCTGAACTTTTGGCTCTTGAGTTATGAGCAGAGGTACAAACATGTCTCATCATATAATAATAATAATATCACTGTATAGCATCTAAATACCTGAGCACACGAAGATGCTGTACTGGGTAATGTACAAGAACATAAATAGCTCATTCAGACAAAATCAAGGGGGGTTCGGCAGATGGAGAAGCCACATGACACCGTGCACATCCGTTTTCTTCGGACCGTGCTTGCACCTATCCAGCTGTCTGTGCTTTAGTCTCCATTAGTGTGTGACCTACCTGCTTAACGTTTAACTTCCATATTCTGGTAACATGTGCACTGTGTGTGTGCGTGGGTGTGTACACGTGCACGCATATACGTATTTCAACTTAGCCCCCCCCCACGGCCCTTCCTGGCTCCTCCCCCCCCCTTAACCTGTATATAACCTCGGGTATCTTAGAGCTCTCTTCACTTGATACAGCAATTTTGCTGTAACGGTTTCCACCTGAAGATGGAAGCTTGTGTTGCCTCCAAAACGTCGTGATTTAATTTAGTTGTTTTCATTTATTTTATTTTACCTACGTGACTTTTCCGAAAAAACCAAAGAGTATGAGTCCTTGCAGTCATGAAAGCTTCAAATCTAAAAGTATTTAAATTCCTTCTGTGAAAGTGAGAAACTCAATGATGGCTAGTTAATTGTTCTCACATAATACAAGCATGTGCCACATTTGCTGCAATTTTTTGGGGGGTTTTGCACAGCGTAAGATTCATTCTTTGAAGATTAAAAACTTACTAATCTTATTAAAATATCTAAAAACCGAGATAAATTCTGGGCATTTTAAGCTGTTGTCTGCATGACAAATAAATAACACAGCAAATTACAAACATTCAAGACTTCAAAAAATGCATCGTTTGTGACACCCACAGCATTCCCGTGTGAACCGGGCAGCCACTATGAGAGCTGTGCCCCACCGTGCCCGGCCACTTGCAGCAACGCAAGTCTCCCGGGTGGCTGCAACCAGCAATGTGCAGAGGGCTGTGTCTGTGACGACGGCTTCGTTCTATCTGGGGACAAGTGTGTCCCCGTGGAGCTGTGCGGCTGCCTGGACTTTGACGACCAGTACCATCCGGTCAGTTAATTGATTTTGCATGACCAAGCAATGCATGTAATTGGTTACAATGTCCTGTCTCATGGTTTTGATGAAATTGAGTTGTGTGCAGTAGAATACATTGATGTCTCGTGTTTCAGAAAGAAGTTGTGTTTATATGTATTGATTAAGTTGAGTGGCTTTAATAAGACAATACGCTTTTTAAACAATTCAACTTGCAAAGTCAATCTTGTTCCAGCATCATCTAATGTTATCACTCTATCTCCGCAGCGGTGATACTGTTGGTTTCCATTCCGTCAGTCTCATCCATTGATTATCATTTCATTCCAGCGATGTAACCTGCCCAAGTCCACTTACTTTTCTTAAAAGTCAGTATTAATTGCAGTTCTGTATATTTTTTCTGGGGATATGGTTTGCGATGATGTCGCACACTGTGAACGATCGCTACCCTGACGAATAGGCAGTGGTGGCAGGGCCCTCCTTCCATGCTGCTGATGAAGCGGCAGTCGTCTGGCTCTGCAAAACGAGCTCACTGATCCACGTGTTCTCCTTTTTCTCAATGTGATTCTCAGCCTGCTTATCCACACTTATTGATATATATTTGACGCAAAAATGCAAGCCTAAGTTTGTACTTACAGTGAGGGAAAAAGTATTTGATCCCCTGCTGATTTTGTACGTTTGCCCACTGACAAAGAAATGATCAGTCTATAATTTTAATGGTAGGTTTATTTTAATATTGAGAGACAGAATAACAACAACAAAATCCAGAAAAACGCATGTCAAAAATGTTACAAATTGATTTGCATTTTAATGAGGGAAATAAATATTTGACCCCTCTGCAAAACATGACTTAGTACTTGGTGGCAAAACCCTTGTTGGCAATCACAGAGGTCAGACGTTTCTTGTAGTTGGCCACCAGGTTTACACACATCTCATGAGGGATTTTGTCCCACTCATTTTTGCAGATCTTCTCCAAGTCATTAAGGTTTCGAGGCTGACATTTGGCAACTCGAACCTTCAGCTCCCTCCACAGATTTTCTATGGCATTAAGGTCTGGAAACTGGCTAGGCCACTCCAGGACCTTAATGTGCTTCTTCTTTAGCCACTCCTTTGTTGCCTTGGCCGTGTGTTTTGGGTCATTGTCATGCTGGAATACCCATCCACGACCCATTTTCAATGCCCTGGCTGAGGGAAGGAGGTTCTCACCCAAGATTTGACGGTACATGGCCCCGTCCATCGTCCCTTTAATGCGGTGAAGTTGTCCTGTCCCCTTACCAGAAAAACACCCCCAAAGCATAATGTTTCCACCTCCATGTTGGACGGTGGGGATGGTGTTCTTGGGGTCATAGGCAGCATTCCTCCAAAGAGCTCCATTTTGGTCTCATCTGACCACAACACTTTCACCCAGTTGTCCTCATTCAGATGTGCATTGGCAAACTTCAAACGGGCGTGTATATGTGCTTTCTTGAGCAGGGGGACCTTGCGGGTGCTGCAGGATTTCAGTCCTTCACGGTGTAGTGTGTTACCAATTGTTTTCTTGGTGACTATGGTCCCAGCTGCCTTGAGATCATTGATAAGATCCTCCCATGTAGTTCTGGGCTGATTCCTCACCGTTCTCATGATCATTGCAACTCCACGAGGTGAGATCTTGCATGGAGCCCCAGGCCGAGGGGGATTAACAGTTCTTTTGTGTTTCTTCCATTTGCGAATAATCGCACCAACTTTTGTCACCTTCTCACCAAGCTGCTTGGCAATGGTCTTGTAGCCCATTCCAGCCTTGTGTAGGTTTACAATCTTGTCCCTGACATCCTTGGAGAGCTCTTTGGTCTTGACCATGGTGGAGAGTTTGGAATCTGATTGATTGATTGATTGCTTCTGTGAACAGGTGTCTTTTAAACAGGTAACAAGCTGAGATTAGGAGCACTCCCTTTAAGAGTGTGCTCCTAATCTCAGCTCGTTACCTGTATAAAATACACCTGGGAGCCAGAAATCTTTCTGATTGAGAGGGGGTCAAATACTTATTTCCCTCATTAAAATGCAAATTAATTTATACCATTTTTGACATGCGTTTTTCTGGATTTTGTTGTTGTTATTCTCTCACTGTTCAAATAAACCTACCATTAACATTATAGACTGATCATTTCTTTGTCAGTGGGCAAACGTACAAAATCAGCAGGGGATCAAATACTTTTTTCCCTCACTGTAGGCATAATTTTCGATTTAAAGCTTTCGTGACAGCAGGGATTCATCTTCTTGGTTCTTTCGGTAAAGCCACGTAGAAGGGAAATAATAAAATAATAAAAATTACATTCTCACGTTTCGGCCACAACACAAGTAGCCTTCCTCAGGTGAAGAAACAGAACTGTCGGAAAGACAGCGCTCCAATGAACACTGCTAAGCTTGGCAGCGGATTTTAAGCTGGGTGGGAGGAGCAGAGTGCCTTGACAAAGGAGTTTACATATCAACAGAAGAATTTAGCATTGAAGTAGCTGTGTTAATGTGGTAGATTAGCAGGATGTTAAAGTCAGAAATTAGCACGTAACTGGGAGATTAGCATGATGTTAGTGTTGAGGGATTAGCATGTAACTGGTCAAGGAAGTAGCTATGTTAAAGTCAGAGTTTACATATCAACAGAGGCATTTAGTATATTGACGCTAAATAATTGCAACTACCCAACTATCATACAATAAACCGATGTGAAAGAACTAAATATAAACTACATCAATATAATAAATGATTGCTTGTGTTGCAGTCGAAACGTCGTGGGAATTTTATTTATATATTTATTATTTTATTGTTTCCCTTCTACGTGACTTTACCGAAAGAACCAAGAATATAAAGTAACTGCGTATACACTACACTATATAATGAATACCATATAGTAAACTGTAGGCATAATGTTAACAGAGTTTCTGTCTCTGATATGCAGATTTACATATAATCCATCCTGCTAGTCAACAATTTCTGTATTGGTCATTAAATTTGGATCAATGTAAGTTAATGATATTTTGAGTTCTCTGTTTATGTGATCCATGAGCCAGACTTACCTTTAGCCCAGAGTCCTTGATTCTCACAGTAGGACACCTACGCGGTCACGTGTAAGATGAATTCAGCATTATCAATATAAATATTACTCACTCATTGATGGGCAATGGATAATGTTGCTCACGCACTGGACATTTGTTCACTCTTTCTCCCATATGTAATATTTTCTCAGTATCGAATGTAAAAGAGGCAGCAATTCCTCTCATCCATGATATCACAAGCTTTGAATACTCTGTATTCCTCGAAATGATACTTTAAGGATTAAGTAAGCAAATAGGCATGTATGCCTGAGTGATATTGTCAGAGTATGGGGGAAGGCCAGTTAAACAATATATATATTTTTTATCATCTGTGTTGCGCGTGGCAGCTCGGGGAGAGTTGGTTTGAGTCGGGGAACTGCAGCAGGCGCTGCACGTGCTTGGGTGTGGGAGACGTCCACTGCGAGGACTGGGAGTGCGAGGAGCACGAGGTCTGCAGCGTGGAGGACGGCATCCTCGACTGCTACGCACGAGGTGAGTCCCTGCGCGGCGTCACAAATGAGGAAAGCCATGACGATCCTCTCGCAGGGCGAGAGAGAGACAGAGATGTTTATACAGCCAGGTTCGAGGGAAGTGTCGTGTTTGATGGAATACCTGGAAAAATAGAAATCAATACAATCTATAGGGCTCCAAGAACTAATTATACAGCCTCATTCAACCGAAAAACTACAAATATTTTAAATGGACACAGTAAATAAACTTTGAATTCAATACAATATTGAATGGATCGTCTTGTTTTAAACCAAGTGTTAATCTGGGAATAAATAGCTAATGCTTTGAATGACTCGTAGAAATGTAATTTGCTGTGGTTGACAGATAACAGGAAAGGTAACATTTTGTCCTTTGATTTTTCTTGAAGAAACAACAACTACCGCTCCTCCTCTGGTCTCAACAACAACTTCAAAACCACCAACAGCCCCGCCACTGAGTAAAATATTCACTAAAGACATTCTCCTACAATCACTCTACACTGACAAACCTTGCTTGTTGAATGCATTGTTTACGTTTTTGTTTCAAAAGATACTGCTGCATTGGGCTCTTCATTTATATCAAACAAAATGATCTGATAGAGCAGCATAAGTCATCACAACACATTATTACATAGCTCCTCTATTTTCAGAACCTGGTGACTGCGTGATCTCTGGAGACCCTCACTACATCACGTTCGACAAGACGACGCACCACTTCATGGGCGAGTGCACCTACACGGTAGCCACCCCGTGCAACCAGAGCTCCACCCTGCTGCCCCACTTCAACGTGGAGACAACAAATGAGTTCCGGGACGGCAGCACGGCCGTGTCTTACGTCAAGGAGGTCCACGTGGAGGTCTACGGCCACAGGTTCACCTTGGCCAAAGGACGCCGGGTGCTGGTGAGGGTTTCACGTCATCCTTTAATTGTTATTTGCACAGAGCCGGTGCGTGCCATTCAGGAACCATCGCCACAAAGCACAACACTCTCACACACTGCTCTCTCAATAACTATAATGTTCCTGATGATTGCTTCATTGCATTGTCCTAGAGAGCCTTCTATTTTCAAAACATTTACTTTGAATTTAACAATATCCACGGTGTTGCCTGATGCTTATAAGAGGCTTCCTTATCTGGGACTTAGGAATTGACTTCATAAAGAATGACCAAATATATGTGAACATTCAAGCCATGTTTATTCTATGAATCTTTGGTGGAAGAATGTCGATGTTTACAAAGAATAGTGGAGGAAATTTACATAATGAATAAAAACAATCCTTTCTGTACTATAATCTACCATGCATTACTGATCCTACCATGATGATTCTACATAAAATGCTGTGTTTTGTTTACAGGTGGATGGGCTGCGTGTGACTCCTCCGGTCTTCATGTCAGGGGTGTACATCCAACTGAGTGGATCCTACGTTGTGCTCGAGACCGATTTCAATCTGGTTGTTCGGTTTGATGGGAACCACCATGTGGAGATAGTCGTGCCTGGAGAATACGCGGGGCAACTGTGCGGCATCTGCGGTGAGTTGATCTCCTGGGAGAATAACACAATAAGCAGCTGACTGGACAATGTAGAATACAAAAAATGTCAATGTAATTGTTGTTGACACGGGAGTTACAGTAAGGAGAGTATGAACAGGGCCTTTTTTAAGCCAGGCAAATGGACGAATGCATGTATGTCGACAGCGCAGCTGAGCAAGGACAACATAACAGCCTGGAGAGGCAGCTGTTCGCAGCACAGATGAAGAGTTAGCCAAGTGAGGAAACCACATATGGTGACTGAGAGAGAGCAACGTGACTGCAGTGGTAGCATAAAAGCACTGATGTCGAGTTGGAAAAATGTATTTCTGTTGTGGGGAGCAATTCCATAAGAGAAAAAATGTCAGCTACCTGTCCATTTTGCACTTATTAATTGCCAAACACAGCAGGATTCATTGTCAACCATAGAGCATTATCAGCCATACATTCCAACTAAAATGCAATCGTGCTCGAGACCGATTTCAATCTGGTTGTTCGGTTTGATGGGAACCACCATGTGGAGATAGTCGTGCCCGAAGAATACGCAGGAGAACTGTGTGGCATGTGTGGTGAGTTGATTTCCTGAGAGAAGTGACACAATAAGCAGCTGACTAGACACTTGTAGAATGAAAAACATCTCAACGTGATTGTAGTTGACAGAATATGCAGGCTTGAAGATAGTTTGAATCTCTTTTGGCCCCATTTGAATATCATTTAAGATCCGAGTTCATAAGGACAAAGTTACAGATGCCTCAGCTAATGAGAGTTTAGCATTTGTAAACAGGCCACAGATATGTAATAATTTATAAATACGATAATCTCATTTAAAAAAAGAGAATATGTGCTTGCACGTCCTACAGTAGCATGTCAGTTGTTTTTTCTTCAGTTTTACATGTAAACCATGTCTATCGAAAATCGTATATTGCAATGCTTTATGTTGTTTTACAGGGAACTTTAATGGAGATGGCTCAGATGACAATCTGAAGCCTGATGGGTCAGCAGCGGCCTCATCAAACGAGCTGGGAAACAGCTGGAGAGTGTTCAACAGTTCTGATGATGAGTGAGGATCCGTTCTTCTCAATTATCTCTATGCGTGACTGCTAATTACAACAGTATCATCCAGAAGCCTTTGTGAAATACGCGTTGAAGGCATTGGTATTGAAAATGAATTAGATCTCCAGATATAAAACGAGTGTTAAAATGAGCCACACAGTCACATTAAATCTGATTGCTGTGCTCCTGAGGGTATATGCATGTCAGCTGTTTGGGCTACAGTGAGTGATCATCATGATGATGATGGTGATGGCGATGATGACTGTTATTATGTTTGTGTTGATGTTTTCTCTTTTAAACAGTTATGTTAACCTACGTGTCATGTGTTGACAGTTGTCAAGATGGTACCGGGGAAATACCTCCATGTGATGAGAATGACAAGGACGTGTATGAATCAGATTCATTCTGTGGAATAATCATTGACGATGAGGGTGGGTATTGTTGTCTGTTATGTTTAGCTGTCACTGCACGTTCACGATTGATTTCTGAAAACTCCACATAACAATCGACTTGATGAGATTGAAGTCATGGCATTTCCACTCCATGTATGTGTATCATCGTAAGTTTAACTGTAATAGCTATTATAGTATGCACATTCATTATTTTGTTCCATTTTTAACGTGACATTAAAACAAATATAGGCTACAAAGCTCTTCTGCACACAGGTTTCTTCTAAACTCTTTTCTAAGCTACGTTAAACATTCCTGAACATAATGACATGACATGATAAGATGTTGTTCATAATCTTTGGTCGCTAAAAGATTACAACTGGCTGCCAGACTTTTTAATGACTGATTCAGATTTCACTTGACATTGACTTTTGTCACGCTGAGGAACTCCGATCACCGAATTCAGTGCCGAATGCAATCCACTGTATCACCATTTCCCTAAATACTGCAATCCTGTAGTCGTGTTGAAGAAGAGTGATGTGCCAATGCTGCTAACACTGACATCGTATTTCTCGCTTCCATCAGGAGCTTTCAAAGAGTGCCACGCGGTGCTGCCTCCACAAGTCTTCTTCGACAACTGCGTGTTCGACCTGTGTGCCACGGACGGGGACCACGGCTCGCTGTGCCAGGCCCTGCAGGCCTACGCTGACCAGTGCGCCCAAGCTGGGGTCATCGTCACGTGGAGGAACAACACCTTCTGCCGTGAGTGCGGATGCTGTTAAGCACTGTCTGAACTTTTGGCTCTTGAGTTATGAGCAGAGGTACAAACATGTCTCATCATATAATAATATCACTGTATAGCATCTAAATACCTGAGCACACGAAGATGCTGTACTGGGTAATGTACAAGAACATAAATAGCTCATTCAGACAAAATCAAGGGGGGTTCGGCAGATGGAGAAGCCACGTGACACCGTGCACAGCCGTTTTCTTCGGACCGTGCTTGCACCTATCCAGCTGTCTGTGCTTTAGTCTCCATTAGTGTGTGACCTACCTGCTTAACGTTTAACTTCCATATTCTGGTAACATGTGCACTGTGTGTGTGCGCGGGTGTGTACACGTGCACGCATATACGTATTTCAATTCCTTGTGTGAAAGTGAGAAACTCAATGATGGCCAGTGAATTGTTCTCACATAATACAAGCATGTGCCACATTTGCTGCAATATTTTTGGGGGGTTTGCACAGTGTAAGATTCATTCTTTGAAGATTAAAAACTTACTAATCTTATTCAAATATCTAAAAACCTAGATAAATTCTGGGCACTTTAAGTTGTTGTCTGCATGGCAAAAACAGCTATGAATAACACAGCAAATTACAAACATTCAAGACTTCAAAAAATGCATCGTTTGTGGAACCCACAGCATTCCCTTGTGAACCGGGCAGCCACTATGAGAGCTGTGCCCCACCGTGCCCGGCCACCTGCAGCAACGCAAGTCTCCCGGGTGGCTGCAACCAGCAATGTGCAGAGGGCTGTGTCTGTGACGACGGCTTTGTCCTCTCTGGGGACAAGTGTGTCCCCGTGGAGCTGTGCGGCTGCCTGGACTTTGATAACCAGTACCACCCGGTGAGTTACATACTCCAAGCACATTCCCGGGCAAAGTGCGAGTATCTTTCAAACATGTTTAAGATGCATAACATCGACGTCCTCACTCTCCGAGAAACCCACCTTTCTAATAACAAACAGGCCAGACACTACCGTAGCCGTGGATACAATATCACGACTAGCCACTACCACTCAGTATGACGTGGCCACATGTGAAGCACACCCTTTTTCAATACTTATGCACAATTCCTTTTATGTCGCCGGCAATATATGTTCAAGCACTGTATATATGTTTTTCAATTTTTTTCTTTTCTTGCGCAAAGCCTGCAATTAGAGGTAAATGTAAACCCATTATTTAAATCAGATATTCACAGACTAGCCACATCCATAATGCTGCATGTGTTGAACACTTTACACACACACACACAATACAAATTTTATTTAAAATTAACATTTTTAAAATGTAAGGTCACTTTCAAATGTAAGGTCACTTGCACAATAGGGCAATGTGCAGAGATGCTGTATCTGTGTTGCGCGTGGCAGCTCGGGGAGAGTTGGTTTGAGTCGGGGAACTGCAGCAGGCGCTGCACGTGCTTGGGTGTGGGAGACGTCCACTGCGAGGACTGGGAGTGCGAGGAGCACGAGGTCTGCAGCGTGGAGGACGGCATCCTCGACTGCTACGCACGAGGTGAGTTGCTGTGCGGCTTCACAAATGAGGAAAGCCATGACGACGATCGTCTCACAGAGAGAGAGAGAGAGACGGGTAAGAGGTAAGTGTAGTGTTGGAGAGAGACCTGGAAAAATATAAATACATACAATCCATAGGGCTCCCAAGAACAAATAATACAGCTTCAGTCAACAGAAAAACTAAAATTATTTTACATGAACACAGATGGTAAATAAACTTTAAATTCAATACATTATTCAATGGAACATCTTGTTTTAAACCTAGTGACCATCTTTGGGAAAACATATTAATTGTCTTTAATGCCTGGTGAAAATGTAATTTGTATCAATAAACAAGATAAGGGGAAGAATAACTCTTTGACATTTTTGCTGTTTCTTTCAGGAACAACCGCTTCTCCTCCTCTTATCTCCACAACAACAGCACCAAGACCACCACCGACAGTCCCACCACCGAGTACGATGTTCACTTCACACTGGCAAAACTTACACTTGGAAACCATTGTGCTTTAGCAGAATTTTGTTTTTACCGACGTAAATACCTCTGCAACACCACCTGCATGCCTCATATCATTGTTGTTAGCCTCTCACCTTCATCACCCATGATCTGTCCACTGCAAGTTTATATTATCTTACAAGTCATATTTTTGTTCCAGAACCTGGCGACTGCGTGATCACTGGAGACCCTCACTACATCACGTTCGACAAGACGACGCACCACTTCATGGGCGAGTGCACCTACACGGCAGCCGTCCCGTGCAACCAGAGCTCCACCCTGCCCCACTTCAACGTGGAGACAACAAATGAGTTCCGAGGCGGCAGCACGGCCGTGTCTTACGTCAAGGAGGTCCACGTGGAGGTCTACGGCTACAGGTTCACCTTGGCCAAAGGACGCCGGGTGCTGGTGAGCGTTACACTGTACCTTCACGGTGCTGGTGAGCGTTACACTGTACCTTCAAGGTCATGTCTATGGGTTGCCACACTCAGGCAGAAGCTAAAGGAGAAAATGTAAACTTTTGTGTTTTTTTGTGGCTGTTAAAGGTAAACTTGTCTCCCAATTGTGCTGCACAGTATACCAGAACTTGCTAACCTGATGAGTGCCCACTGAGAGGGCAACTCTCATCAATAATAATTATAGCTCATATAGCATATTTCACACTCATTGTAAAATATCATAAAATACATCAATTACAATTAAGAAGTGGTTAAGTTAAAATAGGAAATGCTTTCTGAAAGAGAAATGTTTTTAGGCAAGAATGGACAAACCTAGTTTAGTGGAGAAACCTGGTACATACAATCGTTATAATTTACAGACATTTGGCAATGCACTGCTGGACACGGTCCTCCTGTGTCATTCGTGGGGGTTGTGTGATTACTAATCACGACACTGGACAATATAGGTGGGTGACAGAGGAGCTCAGGCTGGCTCAGATGTAATGTAATGTTATGAAGAATCGCTAAATCAAGCTAAAAGCATCTCTAATGCGCATTGTCATCTCATCAAACTGTTCATCAAATGAATGCTATGGTCTCACTTGCAGTGTTTGAACTCGAGGTGTTCTTGAGTTCGTCTGGTCGGGTGTTCCATGTAACGAGGCAAGCTTTCTGAAAGCGCCTGTGATGTTGTTAGCCATGCCTGAGAATCAAACTCAGGTCACTGGATTCATAGCGCAGTATGTGAACCCCTCCCACTTCTCCCCAAGTCTCATTTGATAATGGGTTATTTTTTCTGTGATGGTTATTATATTTACAATGATAATCTTATTTGTATTTAAACCATCATACTTGTAATTGTGTATTATAATTAATAGTGTTATGTGTAAATCAGTGCGTCCGCTCCACCACTCTCTACAATATTAGGATATATCGTAGCAAATATATATGTTGTACGTGTAATATATATTCTAGGTTTTGCTCACTAAAATTGTTAAACATGTGCATGTGAAAATAACACAAGTGTTTCAAATCTATGACAGAAATTCTCATAATTTAACAATAGGTGTTTTTTTTCCCAAAATATTTTGTTTATATCTCAAACAAAACGTTTCGGCGATTTAATGAAGCCAAGGGTTGGAGCGGAAATGATGGAGCGTGTGTTGGCCTGGGAAGTGGGGCAGGATTACAGCGGTGGACCAAGAGTAGTGGGTACAAGTTTCCCTTGGCCTAGACCGGCGTGTGCACTGTGTGCAGCACATGTACGGTACACGAGAAGGTGTGAGATTGTATTAGATGCACGACTGGGACCATCTACTGGAGCTCTGCGTTGTTTTACAGGTGGAAGGACGGCGTATGAACACTCCGCTGCTGCTATCGGGGGTGCACGTGTACCTGAGTGGATCCTACGTTGTGCTCGAGACCGATTTCAATCTGGTTGTTCGGTTTGACGGAAACCACCATGTGGAGATAGTCGTGCCGAACGAGTACGCTGGGATACTGTGCGGCATCTGCGGTGAGTGCTGACAACAGGCTAAACGAATGCTGATTTTAACATTTATTTCACCTGACAATAAATCAGGCTCGCAATGATACAGGGGTGTGTACACTTTTAAATTGGAGACAAAAACCACTTAAAAACAGAAAACAGTCACGTAACAAGGTTAATTTACCAAGGCATGTATTGGGCTGCCAGCATCTGCAGGAAGGCACGTAATGGGCTACCTTGCTGATCTCGTCAAGGAACATAAAACCATCACACGAACTCCGGTCATCCTCACAGCGACTTTTGGATAGTCATCGAATAAAGATGGTCACTGCATCGCGCACTTTCAAATGCGCTTCTGCGACCATCTGGAACGCTCTTCCGATATTAGGAAGCCACTGGAGCTATACACTTCTAAATCTAAACTGAAAACGTATTTCTTTAAAATGGCTTTTTGTGTTTAGTTTGATGTCCTTCCCCCACACCTCCAATTAGCACGGTTGGCTACGTACAGTGCGAAAGAAGTTCAACATACATACATACAAGGCAATTGCACGTCATCGTCATAAGCTTACCAAAATGGCCTCTTAACCATAACTTTTTGTGGACGTAGAGGGGAGGCTTGAATGTGACTCTCAAAGGAAATGGTAGCCAATCACAAAAATTAATAGCTAATCACCAGCTAGTCAGATTTTGATTCACTAGTGATTCAAAGCAGGGGCGGAGCCAGGATTTCAGGCCGGGGTGACATTCAACAAATTTTAATTTCAAGAATGATTAGAGAGTCAGGCTGTTGAACTAGACGCCATCGGTTGGCGACACACTCTGACAATGCAGTTGCACGGAGTCCGCCAGACCGAGTGTCATACACTTATACGCAGAATGTCACCCCTGTCACCCCCCCTGGCTCCGCCCCTGATTCAAAGTATATATAGATGATCAACCCGTGACTCGGCGGTTGGGGAATAGATGTGGGGGTAGGCAGAGATGGGCAAATACATATCAAATTATATCTGCTGTATTTTGCAAAATATGAATGTAAATTACATGTAAATTAAATAATGTTCATATCTGTGGATAGGTTGTATGAGCACATCCCATTAACCAACAATGTATACAACTTGACTTAAAGCTTTTGTGACTGCAGGAATTTATATTATTTGGGTCTTTCGGTAAAGCCACGTAGATAGAAAAATAATAAAATTATCATGACGTTTTGATCGCAACACAAGCAATCGTCATCAGGTGAAAAATATAGCGAGAGAGCTGCCGAAGCAGGAGAAAATACAGCGAGTAAGCTTCTGAAGCACGAAATTATACCGGCTTGAGATGGGTGTAGCCCAAGAGTAAGTGGGCGGGGCTAGAGGTGGAATTTGCATGCCAATGTAAGATCGGACAGCTGCTGAAACACGAAGTTATACCGGCTTGAGATGGGTGTAGCCCAAGAGTAGGTGGGCGGGGCTAGAGGTGTAATTTTCATGTCAATGTAAGATCGGTGATGTACCTCTACGACGACGATGCAGCTGTGGAGGTGGCCATTGTACTGTGAGAGATTAGCATGTCAATGTAAATGCTGTGCTAGTGAGGCATCCAGCTCGTTCAAAAACGAGGGACAACACCACATCGAGGAAAAGGAGCAACGGTGGCTGTGTTAGTGAGACATTTAGCGTGTATGTAACTCAAGGAGACGGAAATAACTGCTAGCATCGGCAGATAGGATGAAAACATCACAGCCAGTTATGACTGAAACTGGTTAATAACGTCATTCCAATGATTGCTCAGTTTGTATCCATCTTCTCGCTTGAAATTATGTCTGTGTCGAAATATCTGGATTGCTTCATGAACGAATCTTTGTTGATCGCCAGTGGGCTTGCAGAGTACCTTTGTCTTGGAAAAATCGATTTCATGTGTGCCCACAGCGTTGAAACAATGATCAGCCACGGCTGAGGTATTGGTCCTATCATGTTTCAGATCTGCCATATGTTCACGAACACGGTCCAAGACATGTCGCTTAGTTTCCCCAATATAACTACTGCCGGAGCCGCAGCTTAGTTCGTAGACACCAGGGTATTGTATGTCAGGCATCACATTCTCACAGATGGGATCAAATCACGAATTTTATGTACTGTGTTGAATCGAACATGGATCTTGTGTTTGCTCATGGTTTTGGAAATCTTTTGGGTAACACCTACTACAGTATGTTTGGCCAACGTGGCTTTACCGAAAGACCCAATTAAAAATGTATAAAACCCAGTGAAAACCCACTGATATGCAAAAGAAAACTGGTATTTTAAATACATATATACATGAATACATTTTAATTATGCTTTTGTTCCACTGTATTGTATGCACATGGACCAAGTGGATATTATATAAGTGGGCGCCTGCAAATACTTCTGAAGCACGATTGTGACTAAACGTCACACTGCACTTGTTGCAATGCTGACCTCGAGTCACGGTTTGGTCACCCAGTTCACACTGGGTCACCATTGCAACAAATGCAGTGGTTTACCCAGTGTGAATTGTCATTTATTTCGTTTTCTTCTAATAAAATTTTGAAGCCTTCCTTTATTTAAGTGCTCAATTTAGTCGTGCACTGAGATTCCTTTGCACACAAGCGAAAGGCACAGCCAGAGTTGAAACTTACTCTCATGTTGTTACCTTGCAGGAAACTTTAATGGCGATGGCTCAGATGACAATCTGAAACCAGACGGCTCAGTGGCAGCCTCCTCGGCAGAACTGGGAAACAGCTGGCAGTCGGTGAACAGCTTGGATGAGTGAGTAGCCCCGCAGTCACCCTGGCACTGATCTCTTGCTGAGCGTAATGTATTCATGTGGGCCCAATTCTTTGTTAATCGTTCTTTTGGTCTTGATTTTGTGTGATAGCTTACTCTTTGTCTGTTAATTAAGCATACCCTGGGAACTCTTGTAAGTGGATGTTCCATCTCAAGGGATTTTCCAGTTAACATTTTAATATTATCTGTTTACCTTACAACGGATTTTACCCATCAATCCCTTGAAAAATCATGCATTCTCACTACATTCAGAAAACAAACTTCTACTCATAAGCAGCTATTGTGTGTGTTTGGAAAGTATCATTTGCCCATGCACTGAGCCCAGCGACCTGAGTGTGATTCCCGGCCACGGCTGACACCAGTCGCAGCTGATGTCTAAACCGGTCTTGGGTCCCCTTTCACCAACCCACAATGACTTGTGTGGTGAAGCATGGTCCTCAAACGACCCCCATTACCATACCAATACGGTGTGGCGATGCCTTCATCCAACAGTGGATTGCCAAAGGGCTGTGAATTGTGGCAGGCGGGGGGGGGGGGGGGGGGGGGGGGGGGCGGGGGGTTCCTGCTATGACATCTGCACACTTTCGCTCATTTGAAAAACAATCTTGAAATTATTAAATATCATTATCACAAGCAGATTATTATTACTGGTACCATAACTTAATATTGAAGTATTGTTTTTCATAGGACAGTGATATGCCGGTATTCCTTGATGTTTGTTTTGGCAGATGCAAAGATGACGATGGGGGAAGACCCGAGTGTGATCCAGCGACACAGGAGGAGTTTGAAAAGGAAGGATTCTGTGGCTTAATCACCGATCCCAATGGTAATGTCAATTCTCAGCATCTGGGTACTTTAATGCACATTATTGTTTAACCACTTTCATTATTCACATTATACAGTATTACACAACATAATGACGATATACCCTACTGTTGCTTGTTAATTCACTACTGAATTAAAGCCTCCCCTCGTTATGTCAGTCATGGTTTTTTAAATCGTATTTCACCATGCTGGTCAGCGTGGACTGGTGAACGTTTGAGTAGCGGGTGGCCAGAGACAATTGATATGTCACTCTCCACCTGTGTTTTGCCATTGCCGGGAATCGAACTCGGGAGCGAGGGGCATAGTGCAGTGCAGAAACCACTTTGCCTCTACTACAACCACACACGTGCAGTATTACTCTCCAAATAGTGCAATTCTTTTCCATTGTTTTCAAGGCCTCGTTTATAAAATAGTTAAGTGAATGCGACTAAAGTATTTTGTATTTATAGAACATCATCGACCATACAGGTAGTACAGCAGGTTTGATGCATGGCATGAGAAAGCAGATTTCCTTTGACACCAGCAAGGTAGAGGCAGCGATAACTCTACATTCAATAATTGGCCAATCACTTTGTTTGCATGTTTGACCACAAGCATGTATGGTTAATGCAGACTTAATACCTTGCAATAGGTGTACATTTGGTGTAGGAACACCTGTATTATTGCTGAAAATGTTGAAGCCTTTATTTTTTCATCATAGTGTTAGGACTGAAAGAGCTGTCATCAAAGGTAAACTGTTCAGTGTGATGGTATGGATAGCTAGACGTGTCCAGCGCGTGTTGAAATGTTAATCAGTCTCGTTGATTTGTAATTATTATTAGACTTGTGAAGAACTAGAGGTTAACAAAAGGGGAGGTTGGTATGGTTTAATTACTACTGTATTCGGAAATGGAACCATACAGAAGCCCAAATCCCTCCTTATGCAAGTGAGGCTATGCAGATGCCTGCAAAGTTTAAAATAACAAAGCTGCATTCACCCGACGCAACTTTCCTGACATCAATGTGACCAGGAGCTTTCAAAGAGTGCCACGCGGTGCTGCCTCCACAAGTCTTCTTCGACAACTGCGTGTTCGACCTGTGTGCCACGGGCGGCAACCCCCTGTCGCTGTGCCAGGCCCTGCAGGCCTACGCCGACCAGTGCGCCCAAGCCGGCGTCATCGTCACGTGGAGGAACAACACCTTCTGCCGTGAGTGCAGCGCCCGCTGTGATGTCACCGCCACATGTTATAATCCTGTGCTTTGTTCCTATCAGAACAGGATTGTTGAGTAAGAATTCATGGATACCCTATATGTCGTGTCCATGTTAAAACAAATCTAAAGCCAAAGTGGTAGAACTGAGTTGCCACTCCCAGAGGTGAGTTATCACACATGTGGCACAGCTTATTCTACCGCTATGATCAGTTGGCAAATTATTTATGTTGGGCCGCATCCCCATTCTCAACTTAGCAACCACTGATCACCAACGTTACCTACATTCATACATATTTTGATGTTCGTAGTGCAATCAGTCGACGAGAAATCATGGACAAGAGCAATTTGCGCTCTCTTTGCGCCATCCCAGATGTATTCCATTATTTCAAGCTACAAAAATAGATAAACATTAACCAAAATATTTGTATGCCACGTAATTGGTTCCACGGGCGCCACATTCCCTTGAAGCGTGCAGTCTCGAGACAACCCATCAATTTGTGATGGTTGTGTTGTCACACTGAGCAGACATACAGAAGGGACGTGAGGCATGGGGCCTTCCCGTTCTGCAGGTGTCATGCCTCTGACACGAGAGGAGTGTCAGTCGTCATGGAATTGGGTTTAAGGTGCCCACCATACGTAATCATCACGTACATCCAGCACCTTTACTTCCCTATGATTAATAATAGAGAGGCAAGGTACAGCTCGATTGGTTTAAATGTCAGCTTCTTTCAAAGTTGCGATAAAATTCAATTTGTTCTCATCAGTTTCATCTGTGGATATTTCATTGTCATAACATTGAACTGAAATAAAATGAATCTTCGCACTTATAAATATGCACTTTTTTAAATTCGACTAAAATGTATGTGTTGCTATTGCAGATGATTTGTAGAGGTTTTGTTATTTAGTAGAAATCATCGCGTGTGTGTGTGGCACCCACAGCACTCACTTGCAAACCGGGCAGCCACTATGAGAGCTGTGCACCGCCCTGTCCAGCCACCTGCAGCAACACAAGTCTCCCGGGTGGTTGCAACCATCTTTGTGGGGAGGGCTGTGTCTGTGACGATGGCTTCGTCCTCTCTGGGGACAAGTGCGTCCCGGCGGAGCAGTGCGGTTGCCTGGATAACAACGGAAACTACCACCCGGTGAGTTCTACTCATTCTTTCACCCTCGTGTAAACACACCGTATCTTCCCAGTCGGCATTAATGGGTGCACTGTGCCTTGGATTATTTAATTTTGTATCAGATTGCATAAATAGTGTGTAAACCCTCCTCCACCCGACACAGACAATTATAAAAGTTGTCACGTGAACAAACATGCCAGTTTATTACTCCTTCAGCACACCAGTGTGTTGAAAATAAATCCACATTACATTTAACAATTGGATTGCCTGACGTTTCACTATAAGTAACAACCACCTTAATCAACTTTACTAACTAGCTGTGTCGGGTGGAGGAGGGTTTACAACACATTTTACATACGTGATCTAACCCAACATTAATTATGAATCATATTATTAATTGCAGAAGCCGACGTGTTAAAATATTGTACCTTTCTTCATTGTTTATCTGGTCGCATTTGATGAACATTTTTATAAAATACAAATTCCACTATTTGTGGTTATTTGATTACACTTGATACAAAATTCAACCACCAATGACAATGGAATATGATGAAAATTATTCGATTCATGTGGCGTTCTCAAGACTTTGTCACTGTCTTCACGATCGTGTGGTTGCAGCTCGGGGAGAACTGGTTTGAATCGGAGACCTGCGACCGGCGCTGCACATGCGTGATGCCCGGATACGCGAGTTGCGATGCCTGGCACTGTGGATTGCAAGAGGTCTGCACTGTGGAGGATGGAATTCTGGGCTGCCACAGCAAGGGTATGTGTTTTGTCTAAGACACAAATATTGAACGATCAAACACAGACACTGTGGCAGAGTGCCATAGTTTCATTTGGAAGACAGTGAGTTAAAATCATAGTTATAATGCAACCCAGCCCATCATCCCTTTAGAATTACAAACTTAGTACTACATAATGAAAATCTAACTGAGGTTGCCTTGTGGAGAGATGTATCCATGACACAGGAGCGTGGAATTTCCATCTGAATTGTAAACACCAATGCAGATGAAATGATTTCCTGCTGATGAGCATTGAAGCTGTGCTCATCTCCTGTTTAGAGCCCTGCGCCGGTGATCTAAATTCCATGTTCTTGTAGTGGGTACGAGTCTTTCCATAGAAGCACCACGGTGGTATGCAGGAGGTTATAGCTTCGATATTTGGAGTTTGCATATTCTCCCCATGGTCGTGTGGAGTTTTTTGCAGGTCCTCCGGTTCTTCCCTCTACATGAAGCAACATGTGTTTTGTTTAATTGACTGCTACTTTAAATTCCCACATACAATGATATAAGCCACTTTGATGGCCTATCACGTGTGCCCATACCGCCTCTGAATATTAGTACAAAGCTCAGTTAGTTAGTTTAACCACAATCGACTTTCCCACAAAGTGGCAACCATTTTATCAAACCCAGAGGGGTGATGGGCTAAGTTGACCCAAAACGAGGATTTCAACTTGGAAAATTCCGATTGTGAGTCACTCACTCTACTGTTGAACCATTGGAGATGGATATCACCAAATCTGTGTTTGAATATGGGGAGACATACCCACTTTTTTATTTAAATTGAATAAACAATCATTTTTATCCAATCTCATCTTGCCCAAGCTATTGATGCCCCCAGGGTCTGGAATGCTATTGCCAATAAACTGCAACTTGAATCTAGAGGAGTTGTACAACCCTAGCTGCCACTGCTATTCAGTGGCCTAAAATATGGCTCTAGATTTTGGTGTTATAATTTATTTATGTAGTTTATTGTTAAAAATTCGGTCACAGTCCCTATGATCACTGTTACTTTGGATTTATGGCTTTTATTTTGGTGATTTCGAAAAGTTTTTTTTTGTTTTGGCCATGTTTTTGTTTATTGTAGTACGGAGTTAGACTGATGGCCTTAATCTTAGTTGTCTTGTGGTTGTTGTTATTTGATATGCATCCCACTAGGATTTTTGCACACAGCGTTGGTGTACGGTGCTATTTCAGGAATATTTTGATTTTTTTTTCCTGTATTTTCTGTTTGCACAGTCACATAGTCACTTTAAGATGTTTTCTTGTTCATGTTTTTTGTTTGTTGCGGTTGCACCCGATTCAAGAGCCGAATGGCTCACAGGGCTATACCAAATAAATGAACTATGAACTAAATGAACTAAACCATCAATCGCCTTACCATTGGTGGAGAACCAGGAGTTTATCTAATCTCAAATGGGCAACTCGGACCTTAAACCTCGGGTTAAGTGGTCATGGCTCAATACACCAACAGGGACATTCATCCAAACCAACTTGCTCTCTTCTTTTACCTTTACATTCCAGCTAATCTAGCTTAACACAAATTGGCTTCATCAGTCATGGCCGCTTCCTGTATCAATTACACTACTTATGTCTTTGCATTACCATATGGTTTAACATTTGTTATTGCTTTAGAAAAATCTGCTTTAAGCTTTCATTCAGGATTTAAAAAATTAGTAAGTTTCATCAGCATTTTTTATTAATACGTCTTTATGTCTGTATGTGATCATCGGTGACTGGACATACCTCCAGTTAAATTTCATGAAGAGTTGTCTGTGGGTTTCAGTCGTTTGCAATTGCATTTCAAATGCAGAATACTTACGAGTGAGGGAGGGGCCAGTAGCACCCGCTGCTTGTCGTGAGAAGGGCCTGGTTGTGTTTCTGTGCCCCAGGTTATGCCACGTGCCACGTTGCTGGAGATCCCCACTACTTCACCTTTGACTTGATAATGATCAGCTACATGGGCACATGCACGTACACGCTGGTGGACGTGTGCAATGACACCAACGTGACGCCCTTCACCATCACCGCCAAGAACGAGGAGCGCGGGCAGGCGTCCGGCTCCTACCTCAAGCACGTGATCGTCGACATCGCGGGCCACCGCGTCACCCTGCAGAAGAGCCACCGCGTGCTGGTACGCACGGATTGGGCACCGTGAGACCGTATTGTCACAGTTGAGAAACAGAATATTAATTCTAGATTTGAAGTTTTCGTGACTGCAAGGATCCATACTCTTTGGTTCATTCGGTAAAGTTACCTACGTGACTTTACCGAAAGAACCAAAGAGTATAGAATATTAATTATGTGCAGAGCGGGTGTGGCAGAGAGCCCATCTCACAGTTCGATTGCTGGCCATGGCTAACATCAGTGGCGAGTCATATCTGAACTGGTGCCAAGCATCCCCCACCACTAACCGGTGTGGTGAAGCAATTACTGACGTGGTGTGGGGAGTAAATTGACAAAGAACTGCAAAAAAAGTATCTTATTAGCGTTCCCTGAAACATTTGCTAAACAGTATATATAAAATAAGTATAACATTTACATTTATTTGAGAAGTATATGTTAATGGAAGTTTATCATGTGAATTTAGTTAAAAGTTTTTTTTTTAAGCAGGAATGTCCTGTGACATCAAAACATCAGAAAACGTTTAATAATGGTCTCATTATGATTTTGGCAATGAGTAGATATGATTAACGTACAATGTATCACAGGGTTCCATTGTCTTTTGTGATATGTAGTTAATCGTACAAAGTAATTGTGTGTGGTAAAAATCAGAGCTCTTGTAAAACACATCATGCATCGTGGTTGATTTTTCTTTCTTAACAGGTCGACGATAAGCGAGTTAAAACCCCCATCGAAGGTTTGGTCCCAGGAGTTAAGATCGGTATAAGCGGAAGCTACGTTCTCCTGGAGACTGATTTTGGCGTCACAGTCAAATTTGATGGAAAACATCACCTTGAGATCAACACTCCAAGTACTTACTTTAACAAGGTCAGTTTGGTTCGGAGACTCAGCACCTACATTGCAACAGAAAATATCAGAGGCACACTCGAAGGATGTTTTAAATAACATTCACTACTCCTATACCCAGGGCCTGTATCACACAGTGGCAGAGAGAACCACGGCGAGGGTAGTGGACCTCAGAGGTGATAATCTTCCTACATTGAATCATGGGGTTGGAAGAGAAAATGGATTACTGAGCAAAGCTGTGTGAGGAAAGAAGGAAGAGCATGAATGTTCCATCCTAAAACGAGGTGGCAGCATCATCATCATCAGCCGTGATCGGTTCACTGATGGATGAAGGTTTCCCAAGCTGACGCCATCTTTCATGATCCATAATTTGACAATCCCCACCAAGCACCTGCACAAGAACTGATTTCATTGCTCCGTCTTCGTGGTGGATGCCCTTTCGGGAGACAGCAGCATTTGTTTAAATGTCTTCATGGTTAACAATGTCCTATACAGACATATATGTTTAAATATTTATTTACACTGTCGCTTAAAATTCGTTTAGATGGTTTTGCCTGTAGCTAATACCATAGTTTTATTATGACCGCACGCATATATTAATTGTAATACAGGGATGCGATTGATAGAACGTGAAACTAGCAAAGTAACTAATGTAAGGATTATTAATTAGTGTAATGTAATCAATTCTTGGATGCAAGGAGGAATAATTGCATATGAACGATGACTGCACAAAGTGACCCACACCGCATCATTAACCCCATTTCGCAATCTAAATGCACGTGGACAGGCTCAATTTTTGCCATGGTCCAGGTTATCTCAAAATGTTCTATACATTTAAATTCACTGGTTATCATTGCAGTCAATAATTACCAGGATTAAAAATGAATGTACATTCCATCTCATCTTCTGTTTAGACCCATTAACCCATGACACATATGTCTTGATCATGTCAAAAATGTATTACATTGGTTCTTGTTTGACTGTGCAACAGCTGTGCGGCTTATGCGGCAATTACAACCAGAACGGCACAGACGACTACCTGATGCCCAACGGGAAGCTTGCCACCAGCGCCGCCCAGCTCGGGGACAGCTGGAAGGCCGAGGGAGACGATGATGCTGGGTGAGGCAGCCAATGTGCACTGTTTGGTATCGTACAAGCCACGCAGCATTAACATGTTCCATGTGGTAATAGCACATTACAGTGATGTATATAACACCTTGTCAATCCAAGCTCTACATTGTGGGTTGGTGAAGTGTGGGGGGCTCCGGACGAGTTCAGATGTCAATTGCCACTGACGTATCCATGGCCGACGATCAAACTTGATTCGCCGGGTTTCATAATTCGGTGTGCTAACCACTGCACCACCGCACCACACCATTGCTTAATGTATCCTTACTTTAATTTACAATGAAAACATGAAGTACCTGAAACATGTATCATTATTTCATATAGTGGCATTGGTCTATCACATTATTTTTGTCTAAATCACGCATGTGTTTATAGCTATAACAAAACAACCATGCGTGTGATATATTTTTTTCACAGTTGCAAACCAGACGAGCCGCACATTCCCGGCTGTGACCCAATCAATGAAGAGGCATATAAAAAGATGTGTGAAGTCGTTATCTCTACCTCAGGAGCCTTTGCCAAGTGCCATGCCGAGATAGATCCCGAGCCTTTCCTGAAGACGTGCATCTACGACATGTGTCAGTTCCACGGGATGGAGAGCACGCTGTGCGATAACTTCCAGGCCTATGCGGAGGCCTGCCGCGCAAAGGGCATCAACATCCTGTGGCGCAATGAAACCTTCTGCCGTGAGTTTTCTGCATGCGGAAATGTTTGAATATTTATAGATATCCATTATAAGAAAAACATGAATTAGACACGAGCAACTTTACCTCTATGGTTGAAATGTAAGCAACATATTCCTTTTTTGCTTGTGTTTTTTTTCTTACCAAAAATTCCGAGCTATATCTAAGAGCACATGTGGTCAATATGTGGATTATGGACCATTTTGTAACACACTGTAGTCTGCACTCCTTCGATGGAGGAACAGAAAAACTACACAAACTCTCTCCTGAAGCCCTGTCGCAGCGGCTAGCAGACTTCGGCGTTGTCATTACGCTTGTGAACATATTGCTGCCATTCTCAAGAATATAAACAACACTTAACAAAAGGATTTGAAACATAACCAAGACACCCGTATGATAAAATCCGTACGTGTCTCTTCATTAGCACTGCCATGCCCGCCGAACACCCACTACACGCCGTGCGCCTCGCCCTGCCCGGCCACCTGCTCGGACATCTACGCCGAGGACGGCTGCCAGAGCGCGGCTCGGTGCGCCGAGGGCTGCGTCTGCGACCAGGGCTTCGTGCTCAGCGACGACCTCTGCGTGTCGCTAGAAGCCTGCGGCTGCTGGGACGACGAAAACAACTACCACTCGGTGGGTAGCGAGGCTGCTCGGTCCGCGTGGTCCATGCGCACTGTGCTGCTCCACACACCTCTCGCTCTTTGTGGTTAACACTTGCAGGAGCTGATTTGTAGAATATCTAGCGTACAAGACATAATGGAATATATACGTACGATACTGGGTGGATCAGAGAGATAATGTCTGCGTTGAGGAGCTGAGTCCACGCTGAAATGTGAGTAGCCACCTATGGCTAGATTGGTTCTCAAGTATAGCAGCAAGTTCACGATCTCAGGCCAGTCATCATTGACTGTACAAAAAAAATAATGGTGTAACGTTAGACTTTAACATATTTTCTTTCAATTCAGCTTGGAGGACTTTGGACATGTCATTGTGATTCCCATTCTGTGAACATTATGCAGTAAAATATTGGATTGTGAGCATAATTCGTTACGGAAACGTGTTTGTAATCCAAAGCACTCGTATATCAAAGCACTCGTATATCAGTTGTGATCACGTGACGCTCGGCAGACAAAGCGTATACGCACTACTCGTATTGCAAGACCTCGCTCGTTTATCAAATTAATATTTACTTAAAATTTTTGCTCGTCTTGCATAACACTCACAGGCTAAGTTACTCGCAATCCAAGGTTTTACTGTACGTAGAATGTGTGTCGTTTAGTGTAAAAGAAAAGGTCTATTGAAGTGCTTTCATGACATCATCCCTCATGGGAGTTTTCTCAAAATATGATGCACTGTTATGAAAATTCCCAATGTAAATTCGATTCTTTATGGGGGCACTCCAGTTATACATTGGCCAAAAGCAAAGTGTTCATGTAATTTCCCGATTCTCTACATGAGTGATGTCAATGTTTGTGATGCCGCCTGCAACACAAAATACTTAATATGACATTACTTTGGAATGCTAAAAGACTACAATCCTACTGATCTCTCTGAACAGCGTTGGTAACGGGGCTTTTGTCTCATTCGATGCAACATTGTGTACTCACTAATGCATGACAACTTCAGTATGCGCCTAGTTTGTGGGAAGGGTGTGCGAGGTCTCTGTATGACTAAACTGGTACTGGGACCACCTTTAATAGGATAATAGGTTTTTCCCCTTTTTTCTGGCAACAAAACAGGCATTCATATTCTTGGTTCTTTCGGTAAATTCACGTAGAAGGGGAACAATAAATCATAAAAATATAAAAAATAAAATTCTCACGACGTTTCGACTGCAACACAAGCAATCATCATCAGGTGTGAAAACCACAAAATCAAAACAAAATCAAAACAAAACAGGTGTTAAGATGTTAAAACACCAAACTGAAACCTTTTACAAGTAATCATGTCTGCATTAACCACAATACTTGTGGTCAGAATGCAAACAAAAAACATACTCTGATAATATATGAATTGTCCTTGAAACTGATTGGTCCAAACCAGAGACAGCTTTCTTTGAGCCTCGTCTCAAATGGTGTTAGACCAGAGGACACCAAAAGGCGTACAGCCCAAAGACAATGTCACTATCAGAGTAATGAGAGCTTGGGATGAGCATCTGCATCATGGGACCTCCTTTGCCAGTACCAAAATATGATAATAGGTTTTTACCCTTTTTTTCTGGCAACAAAACAGGTGTTAAGATGTTAAAACACCAAACTGAAACCTTTTACAAGGAAACCCTATTATATTTTGGTACTGGTGTGCAAGATGTCGATTATTATTACGAGGTGTTTTTAAGTCGCTTTTTCCATAGCAGTCGTGGTATAAATTTGATTAATTGTTATCCGTTATTAATTAAGTGTTTTCAACTTACGTGCCATTGCTTCCGTGCATCTTCCAGTTTGAAGAGGCCTGGCTTAGTGACAACTGCAAACGAAAGTGCGTTTGCTCGGTGCCTGGCAATGCGAGCTGTGAGGCGCACAGCTGTGTGGAGCACGAGAGTTGTCAACTGAACAATGGGAAGGAATCTTGCCAGCCTGTCAGTAAGTGTTGAGCAAAGCTCATGCGTGCATGGCACTGGGTGTGCAAATCCCAAACGCCTTAATTTGTACCTTCATGTGCTGTTATCTCTGCTGCCTCCCGAAAATGCAGTTTTTTCAGGAACTGGTGGGTTTTACATTATGCATGAGGCTGATAGCTTTTGTACGTGCATTGGACACTTTTGTTTACTGAGACTAACTGCATCGCTGCCCTCGCTCTCCTAGACTGCCATCACTGAGTTTTCTGTAAAAAAACAAATTTAACCTATGTGGAAACATTTTATCCTCCGTGCCAGGTTACAGCACGTGTTCAATATCTGGGGACCCACATTACCAGACCTTTGACAAGAGGCTGTACCACTTCATGGGTCGTGAAACATACACGCTGGTGCAGAGCTGTGGGGACAACAATAACCTCCTACCCATCAGAATCCTCGGCAAAAACAAGCGCGTCGGCCACAACCACCGTGTATCCTTCCTGGATGCAGTGTACATTTACGTGTACGGCTTCAAGATCAAGTTCACCGACAGAAAGGATTTCGAGGTGTGGCGTTGTTCCCATTACTGATGTATGCAGCAGTTTCCACATACACTCCTGAAATATTTCATGACATCATGCGGAGAGGAAAACTGAGATGTGAACGCGATGTAAATAAAGTGCCGAGTGTGTTGTCACACACCTGTGACGCCAGCGAGGGTTGATGGATTACGGTAGAGTTGGTGGATTGTGCAGAGATGCATATTAATCTGGTAGGTGGTGGTGGCCCATGCCTGTAATCTATCACTCTGGAAGTGAGGGTTGGTGAATCACACAAATGTTGTGAAACTCCCATTCCTATGGGCATTGAAGTTCCATTCCATGGCTTGCCGAGATAGTGCAGTACAGTAACATGTTGACTCCATATTTTCTTTCTTTATGGAATAGAGTGTTGCCCCTCACAAATGAGGGTTTTCGCTAGGTACTCCAGTTTCTTTCCACGTGTAAACACTCATTAATTAATATATAGAGGACAGCAGAGCTCATTCGGCACCGCATCCTCACCGCCTGGCTGCCTTCCCGCTTGTCTGTGGTTCCTCGCGCCTCAGAGTCCTTCTCTCTGTTTGCGAGCAAGCGAATACTGTACAGCGTGTTACAAGTTGAAATTATTATCAAACATGTGGCCTGAAGATGGCAGTACAGTGAGTGGGAGTGGGTTTTCACACCAAGACACAGATATACGTGCTGCTCTATAAATTACACCAGAGCTGGGCATCATCAGCCTTGTGATGCCACAGTCCATCTCACTCCTGCACACACACTGATCTCATTGCTTCACCTCCACGGTGGTCATTCCCTCTTGCACATTCTCTCCTTTGGCTGCCATCTTGTTCACATTGTTCACATTCCAAACCCTTGGCCAAGAGGCCCTCTGGCGGAGTGTCCTACCTGAGCCCACTTACTTTCCTTTAGTCAATGGTGGCTCTGATTTGCATCTATTCTTTGATCCACGTGTTCCTCTTTCTCAGTCTAATTCCAAGTGTGCATTTCTCCATGCTTCTTTGCGTACTTTTCATTGCTGTTGTGCACTTAAATATATATTTCATTTATGCAATTACTTACGTATTATATATTTCCCCCACAGTTTCGAAGGGGCAGTGCCCAGGCTAAATTTTTGAGGGGAGGACACTAAACTTGCTTAAGTATAGGTTCCACCAGTGACGTGCGGTGAGATCAATGGCTGGGGAGGCACTGGCTAGTATCAGAGCCAGATTTACACATGCACACACACACATGAACCCGATAGAGGTAGCTTACATTCACCATTCAATCAGCATTCTTTACAACACGCATACAGGCAAGTTACGTATTCGATTCGCGTTTTATAGGCGAATACAGTTCCACTATTTATACTCATTCACACAAATGAAAATGTATATTGCATGGTCTTACCGTTACTTGTAAATTAAGTCCATTTGCCTATCCTTCTGGACAAATGTCAGTGACTTTGTTGTAGAAGTCCTCTTTATTCTCTTTTAGTTTCTCTCTCCATCTCAATAGAGATGATTGCCAGGGATGAAAGTCGTCCTTGGTCAGTCCAATTCCGACTATGTTTTGAGTCGTTTCAAAGCAAAGAACGACCTTTCAACGGACGCTGTTGTAGCTGGTATAGTGAGCACCAGCTCATAATCCGGAACACAGCACGCAGATCAGATTGGTACATGCTGATCGTCTGAACTAGCCTAGAATTTGAGCTCCATCCCGTGCGCGCTGCTCTTGGTAAACGTCGCTTCACAACATCGTCCAGTAGGAGGTTGCCCTTGGTCGACTTATTGAAAAATGTCAGTCCCTCAACTGTTTTAAAAAAGTTTTACACTCAGGCATACATTTTTCTGAATGCGAGAGCACCAGGTTCAATTTGTGTGCATAACACTAGGTAAACGTGGCTTCAGGTTCATTTTCTTTAATCTTGGCCTGCACCCCATTAAGATCTGATGCCATCACAGAGGCTCCGTCGTAAGTCTGAGCTACTAGCTCTTCAACGCAATTGTATTTCCCCAACACCCAAAAAACATAATCAGCAATAGCCGGTGCTTGTCTGTCATCACTGACATCATCAAATCCCAAGAACGCCTCCCTCACCTCACAAGTCACCTCACTTGTAGCCACATAATGCAACGTTACAGAGACCTGGGCTTTGTTTGTGACATCCGTTGCCTCGTCCACTTCGACTGCAACAAATGGGGCTGCATTAATCTCCTCTTTGATATCATTTCTAATTACATCACCGACTGCTTCGATTAAATCGTTCTGTATTCTGTTTGATAAGCCAGAAAACATAGTGGATGTCTCCAAATGTCTAGCTAACTTTTCATGTTTCTCAGCAAAAGCATGTAATAGCTCCACATAGTTGCCACGATTAGAAGAGATTGCACTCTCATAGTTACCACGAAATGCTAATTCCTGTTTGGCTAGGAAGCAGGTCGCATTAATAACGTCTTTTAAAACCTCACGGTTTTCCTTTACCTTAGCATTGTGGATACTGATATTTAATCTCCACTGTTCATTCAGAGCCAGATCTATCCTTGAAGCTCCAAAAGTTTTTAAAGCAATTTGGCTTTGAATATGAGTTGTCGATTTTTCATGTTTGTTGAGGCTCCTTGGTAGATTTTTCAAGTCACAAAATCCCACGTTAGTCCAAACGTTATCGGTAGTGGAGAACAGAAGGCAGAGGAAGCAGTAAAGGTGATTTACTTCGTAGCACAGCCAACACAGCCAGTCTTTTTATTGGTACCACTCCATTTGAAACGACCGTGTTATTTTCTGTCCCTTCGTTTGAAGTAGGTCCTTAAGCTCAGGCATTGGTCTTCCATTGTTTATCATTCCGTGTTTTGATTGAAAGTCCAATTTTGAGAAATTTTTAAGGTTAGATATAACGTTTTCCATTTTTGCAGCCACTGGAATTTTTTTGCTAGAGCTAGCTAACGTGGAGGGAGAGCGAGCGTTAATTACATGCGCTCAAGATGCCCCCCTCAGTGAGGCAGATGTAATAGCTGCCTCACTGAGGGGGGGGGGGCGTGTCCTCACTGAGGGGGGCGTGTCTTCACTGATGGAAGCGTGTCTGATACGCACCCCTCGGTGAGGCAGATGTGATAGCTGCCTCCCCTGGTGCTTTTTCATTGCAGTTTTATGACGAGACCAGCGAGCCTAAATATCTTTATACACATACGTGAAATAAGTTACCTGGACTATGGAAGGCGAGGACACGTAATGAAGGGGTCTACAAACATTACATTGGTGACATACAGAGAGATAGTAACAGGCACGCGCTTATTGCCCGCGCTCCATCCAGTTTCTGAGGGGTTGCGCAATCAGAGGGGAGGCTGAGCTCGTCGCTGCCTCACCTATCGTCTCTCCCTGTATTTGCAGCGAATCTCCACAAATTTGGAGATTTTGACTAGAAAAATGATTGGAATCATAGAGAAATAACATTTACAACACAGATCACTGGAAACATCTTAATATTTATTTTATTTTTTACTTTTCGTAACAGCTATTTTCATTGGAGTATGACAGGTGAGGCTCTGCCTACCCTGCCTCCCCTGACCGCACGTCCCTGGGTTCCACCACCACTGCCTATGTCACTGCCTTTATGAACATCTGTGCAAAAGCAGTGTCCACTTCGCCAATGTTCCACCATATCATTCATTCTCACTTATGCTCTTGCTCTGCAGCTGAATGGGGTAAGAACGAAGCCCCCATCAAATCCCAAGGAGGGACTTGAAATTGTGCACACCTCCCACAAGATGGTGCTGAGGACGGACTTTGGCCTGACTGTCATATTCGATCGCAAATCACACGCAGGTAAAGAGTCCGGAGAATGAAATCGCTTCCTGCTCGTCAGTGATTACCTTCATCACATGTGCAGTTAATTCATATCGCAAACGAATTCTACAGACAGCGACTTCCTATTGACATATAATACATGTGGGGTGAGCTGGAAATTAAGACATGAAAAACAATGTATGGCACACAAACCTCTTTATTAAAGGAAAATTGAGCCAAAATCAGACCGTTTATTTTGCAGATACATACCTAGCCACTGCAGTGGCTTTTTATGAAGTGGGTGACACCTGTGCGGTGACTCAAGTGCTTCTGTGACCTCACACTCGTGGCGAATAGCCCAGGACGCATGGCCCGAGTGTGTAGCTACGAAATAAGAAAGATTTGTTTTGCTCACGACCAAATCACCCTAAATGCACTTGAGCTCATCAGAAATTGGAAGCTTAGCAGAGTTCAGCTTGGTCAGTACTTGAATGGGTGACCAGCATGGGTACCCAATCTATTAGGGGATGGTTGTGAGTGCTACGAGATGCTTGTAAAATGGAGTGCAGCAATGCATTCAGTCTATAGATAGATTTACTCCATTCACTGGATTAAGTAAATATGGAATCTGTTTATAGAGTGCTATACTCTTCAATGTGTGAATTTCTCCAGGTGCTGTAGTTTCCTCCCACATCGAATCGAGCTCTGATTAATTGTTAACTTCATACGTAGGCTTTCATGACCAGTATCACGATATATAATTATTTACTTTTGGGTTAAATCGTGGAGGTATATATTTGTTTTTAGCCCCCACCACCCAACAGTGTCAATATTGGTTAAGCTAAAATAAAATTGGCCATTACAACTGGCACGATTATCTAACCCAAAATAAACTGATTATGAATTACTCATTATTGGTACTGGCGAAACATCCCAGTGTAGGATGCTCATAAAATATCAAAACTAGGTGAAGATTAATTCGGGGGGGGGGGGGGTAAACAATTGTTATTGTGTTTTTGGGTTGTGGCTTCCTTTAAGGATCTCTGTATGTAGAAAGTGGTGTGACAGAATCGAGTGTTGAAGGTTGTTTTTTTTGTGATTGATGTAGACGTGACCATTCCCAGTTCTTATGCTGGCCAAGTGTGTGGCCTGTGTGGGAATTCCAATGGGGACAAGAGTGATGAATTCAAGACTCCCGATGGATCACTCGTTACTTCAGAGGACGTGTTTGGCAACAGCTGGGAAGTCAATGACCGACGCAGCCTCTTTGAGCAGTACGAGCCACCCGTTTTCAGGTGAGATTTATACTTCTTGCAGTAACATCTGAAAAGTCGACTCTCCTCTACTCTTCGTATCTACCGATCATATTTGGATTCGAATTAATGACGTAAATTTTAATAGATCATGGGATTAGATGTATTTAAGGTAACACGAAAACACATAACCGGTTGGCCACCAGGAGGAGGCTACTGTCTCTCCCTCAGTGCGACTGTGGCCAAGCAACCCAAACTATGGACTATAAAGTAAACCACTTTAGTCTGCGCTCCTTCAATGGAGGAACAGCAAAACTACACAAACTCTCTCCTGAAGCCCTCTCGTCGTGGCTAGCAGACATTGACATTATTATTTTCTGTTTCTCCTGAACATATTTCCATATGCAAGATTAGAATCTACTAGCCAAATAAAACTGGCAAACCCCCTTTGGTAACCTATAATGACTTCGACTTGCTTTTAACATACATGACGGCTTAATTAATAATTTGCAATGGCGGTTAATCTTGTGCATCATGAATACAGGTCGAAACGTCTCGTTGAGGAACCCCGGAATGACCTCAACCTCAGCTGCAGCGATGAGCAATGGGCAGAGCTGGAGAACAAGAGTTCCTGCGGAGTGTTTCATGATCCTGCTGGGCCCTTCGTGCAGTGCTGGATCCCTGCCCCTGTGGACCCATATTACACGTGCGTCCACAGCTAAGATGAGCGGTTCAGTGGAAAAAAATGTGCATTGTATTACATTAAATACGTGGTATATGAGTATTAAAATTCAGGGTGTCCACAGATGTAAAGGTGGTGACAACCCTGCAAATTCTCACTCGTGCCACTGCAGTGGAGGGTATTTGGTCTACTCTTCCACGTTAACTATATGTGTTGGAAGAGGTGGGCGTACCCACACTTTACCCCACCACACGTGACCTGCCGATCGATTTTGTTGAAGACTGCTGGGTAGACAGCGGCCGTGGGGGGGATTTGAGAACTGCCATGCCAGAAGATGGTATTGAACTGGTAACTTCTGGATTGCAAGTCCATTGCGCTCACCATTACCCCATAGCGGCTCCTTAAATAGATAATCCATTAATGGCACTTTAAAGCTATACCCACAGACCCTTGGTAGTATGAATAACTGACTACGAGTTTCATCACTCTCCGGGGAATCGCCAGGTCTATTGAATGTCTTTTAAGCTAGTTTATTTGGACACAGCATGCTGCTTCGATGCAGCATGCCAACAAACTATTGCACGTCCACGTGCCCAGTACTTTCAAAATTACGGTGACGGCACAAAATGCACATCAATCATGGCGGTGTTTTACCAAAAAATCTTTGGGATTCTCAATTCATGCTGAAAATACCCTTTCAAAATTTTACGTACAACATTTAACGTTTCGCTTTTTATTATTATTATATTGTATACTCGTCCAACACCTAGCAGTAAATGATCTTAAGTCTATAAGAAATGTGTCCAACATTTCAATCACACTGTTCAACCGGCTGCGTAGTTATCATACCTCTCTGGACACCATATTACAACTCAAGGGACTGAATTGACACCTAACTACCCTCATCAATGAGAGTACAAAAGGGCCTGTAGCAGGGTTACATTATGGCCAGTCAGTTGCCCTTCTTCCAGTCAAATGCAAAGCTAACCTGATTTCTAAATGCAACCACCTATCAAAGAAGAACCCAGTTCCACATATAGCAAACCTAGACGTCAACAAAATCGTCATTAATCAGAGTAGCACCCCAATTTCGGACAATCTAAAAACAGTACTGGCTAGGGGGCTAAATTTTGCTGTCACCCCAAAACACATACCAGTAGATGATATCATCTCTCAGGTCGATGTAGCCCTCAAAGGCGTAGGACACATCCAAGCAGACGTTGCGGGAGCTGAAATAGCCACTATTCTTAAGAATGCTAAGAAACCCATTAGCAACATCAGCAAAAATGAACGCTCTGAACTCGTGAATTAAAAAAAAAACAGAAATGATATAGTCATCCTCTCAGGCGATAAAGGCAACGCTACTGTAATTATGGATAAAGATTCATACAACAACAAAATCCAGAACCTGCTCAACGATGGAAGTTACTCAAAAAATAAAAATGACCCTACTAATAGCCTAGCGATAAAAACCAACAAGATCATCACAAGTTCGACCTCCCTAATCGAACCAACTAAACGTCGCTCCCTAAAACCTTCTGCTGCAAGACCCCCGAGATTCTATGGTCTTCCCAAGATTCATAAAGAAGGAACCCCACTACGACCCATCGTATCCACGATCAACTCCCCTACCTATAGACTAGCCCGTTTTCTGTCAGATACCTTGCTGCCTTTCACTGGCAAGACCGCCTCAGCAGTACTTAACTCAGCCCAATTGGTCTCTATGGTCAAAGACGTTCTACTGTCCCCTGACGATATCCTTGTCAGCTTCGATGTGGTCTCTCTGTTCACCAAGGTCCCAGTACCTGATACCATTGAAATAATTGAAAATTTGGTCCAACATGGACTAGACCCCGATACACCTGCACTGGTTAGGCACTGCCTCAACAATACCTACTTTACTTGGAATGGCACCTTCTACAAACAAAATGAGGGTACCCCCATGGGATCCCCCTTGTCACCAGTGATAGCCAATATTTTCATGGAGAAATTTGAATCAGACGCCATCCAGACTTCCACCCTCAGACCTTCCCTGTGGAAGAGATATGTAGATGACACTTTCGTCATTTGGCCACATGGCCTCCCAGTTTTGAACCTTTTCCTAGACCACATTAATTCCAGACACCCCGCCATCAAATTCACCATGGAAGTGGAGAAAGATGGCAAGCTGCCATTCTTGGATGTTCTGTTTGAGAGGAGACCTGATGGCTCATTGGGACATTCTGTCTACAGGAAACCCACCCACACAGATTCCTACTTGAAACCTGATTCCCACCACCACCCGACGCAAAATAATTCTCTCATCAAAACGTTATACCACAGGGCTCATTGCATTTCCGACCAACCCCACCTGACCAGTGAATTAAAACATGTACATCTGGCCCTCAAAAGGAATGGATACTCTGACCGTACCATCTGCCAAGCTGTTTCTCCCTCCATACAGAAACAACCACTTGATACTCCGATCAAAACCATCACACTACCATATATAGCAGGCATTACTAAAAAGATCTCCAAAATTCTAAACAAACACAAGATCCTGGTCCAGTTCAATGCAGTACACAAAATCCGTGACCTGATCCCTTCCGTGAAGGTTGTCATTCCTGACTTACAGTACCCCGGAGTTTACAAATTGATCTGCACCTGTGGTGACTGCTATATCGGGGAGACGAAACGACATGTCTCTGACCGAATTCGCGAGCACAAATCAGATGTAAAACATGGCAGAACGAATTCTTCTGCCGTAGCTGATCACTGTTACAACGCTGTGGGTGATCACGATATAATTTTCTCCGATACCAAGGTTCTTTGCAAACCCACGGGTTTTTCATCAGAGATTTGTTCATGAGGCAATTCAGATTTACAAACACAGACACAATTTCAACCGAGAAGATGGTTTAAAATTAAGCAACCATTGGAAAGATGTTCTAAATCGAACCAAACATTAAACTAATTTTCAATGGTAGAGTATATTTATTCAAGTAGTGGCATTCCAAACTTCCAAGGTGGTGTATTATCATCTTATGCTAATTTCAAGCTTTCTCAGTAGTACGTTTTATGCTAATTTCCTTTGTCAAGGCGTTTTCTGTTTACCCCCTCACAGCTTAAAAGGAGGCGACCTGCGCTTGGCTTTCTTCACTCCAACGCTGTCCTCTGGGCAGTTTGGTCCCTTCACCTTATGAAGGCCACTTGTGTTGTGGCCGAAACGTCGTGATTTTTTATTTTTTTTCATTTTTATTTTTTGTTGTTTTACTTTTTTTACCTAAGTGACTTTACCGAATAGAACCAAAGAGTATCGTTTGAGTTTTTGTTGGAAAATGTACTTATAATATGGTGCCATATAAACACCTGGTCCAGTTGAGTTAGCTGATATAATTACATTAATTAATTTACAGCCCTTTGTGAATCAGCTACTGGGAAAAGGCTTCCCCATGGCCTGCTGATCATGGATTTTACTTGACCATACTTCACCGTGCTGGTCAGTTTGGGTTGGTGAAGGGTGGCCCAGGACTGGTTCAGATCACCCTCGCCACTGATTAACCATGGCCACAAATGACAAAGGGATGAAAATATTTTCTTATGAAGTTTGAAAATTACGTGTTTACATACCGATAATCGTAAATTATTATTTTTGTTGGAGGAACTGTAAGGATAGTTTGTGCATAACTGTATTTGTAGAATAATCATGGTAATGAGTGCATGCATCATGTTTTTTTCAGTAACTGCATGTATGACATGTGTGAAAACATTGGAGACAAGGAGTTGTTCTGCAGCAGTCTGGAGGTTTACACGTCAGCCTGCCAACAGGAAGGCATCACTCCCAACAACTGGAGAATCTACACGGGCTGTGGTGAGATGAATCACCGATGTCACTCCGTGCCTTGAGCCTCTTCCACCCACATTTTAACATTTCACAATGCGCAATCACTTTCTTCCGCAAGGGATTGCTGTCGTCACAAGAGATGTGCTTTTGCTGGAATTGGGTTTGGACCCAAGTTTTATTCATAAAAAGGGTATTTTAGGGCACTACTGAAACTGAACCAGTGCAATTTTTTGAGTCTCATTAGCACAGTGAGACATTTGGTGTATGCCTGCTTAAAATGGAAATATTTCTGGAAAACATTGGCCTATTGGATGATCGACAAAAAAGTTGTGTTTCTTGTACTTTCAACAAATAAATCCTTGTTTGTAATTTTATTACAGACAATGCGCTGCGCATAACAGTGTGTAGTATATTTTTTAGGGTGGTGAAGTATGGTCAAACAACACGCATGACCCACACATCATGGGGAGGCCTTCATCCGGCAGTGCATTGACGAAGGGCTGCAAATTAGTATTATATCATAAAGTCATACACATGGCTGGGACTTTTACGTATGTTGCTGTATGTATGCATTGGTACGTGCGTGTGTGTGTGTGTGCGTACACAGAACCGACGTGCCCTCCAAACAGCGTCTACGTCGAGCGCATGTCCGCCTGCCCGTCCACCTGCGGGGACTTGGCCGCTTCTTCGAACTGCGAGCTTCCCGACGTGGAGGGCTGCCAGTGCATGCCCGGGTTCGTGATGAGCGGCTTCGACTGCATCCCCTTCACCCAGTGCGGCTGCCTCTATGAGAAGTCCTATCACGAGGTAATGATACAAACAAAAAATGGATCAACCATGTGGCATATACTCTATATATACATACACTCAGATACAGTAAAGTCCCCATTCCTGTTCTTTTAAATACAGTGAGGGAAAAAAAGTATTTGATCCCCTGCTGATTTTGTACGTTTGCCCACTGACAAAGAAATGGTCAGTCTATAATATTAATGGTAGGTTTGTTTGAACAGTGAGAGACAGAATAACAACAACAAAAATCCAGAAAAACGCACGTCAAAAATGTTATAAATTGATTTGCTTTTTAATGAGGGAAATAAGTATTTGACCCCCTCTCAATCAGAAAGATTTCTGGCTCCCAGGTGTCTTTTATACCGGTAACGAGCTGAGATTAGGAGCACACTCTTAAAGGTAGTGCTCCTAATCTCAGCGTGTTACCTGTATAAAAGACACCTGTCCACAGAAGCAATCAATCAGATTCCAAACTCTCCACCATGGCCAAGACCAAAGAGCTCTCCAAGGATGTCAGGGACAAGATTGTAGACTTACACAAGGCTGGAATGGGCTACAAGACCATTGCCAAGCAGCTTGGTGAGAAGGTGACAACAGTTGGTGCGATTATTCGCAAATGGAAGAAACACAAAAGAACTGTCAATCTCCCTCGGCCTGGGGCTCCATGCAAGATCTCACCTCGAGGAGTTGCAATGATCATGAGAACGTTGAGGAATCAGCCCAGAACTACACGGGAAGATCTTGTCAATGATCTCAAGGCAGCTGGGACCATAGTCACCAAGAAAATAACTGGTAACACACTACGCCGTGAAGGACTAAAATCCTGCAGCGCCCGCAAGGTCCCCCTGCTCAAGAAAGCACATATACATGCCCGTCTTAAGTTTGCCAATGAACATCTGAATGATTCATAGGACAACTGGGTGAAAGTGTTGTGGTCAGATGAGACCAACATGGGGCTCTTTGGCATCAACTCAACTCGCCGTGTTTGGAGGAGGAGGAGGAATGCTGCCTATGACCCCAAGAACACCATCCCCACCGTCAAACATGGAGGTGGAAACATTATGCTTTGGGGGTGTTTTTCTGCTAAGGGGACAGGACAACTTCACCGCATCAAAGGGACAATGGACGGGGCCATGTACTGTCAAATCTTGGGTGAGAACCTCCTTCCCTCAGCCAGGGCATTGAAAATGGGTCGTGGATGGGTATTCCAGCATGACAATGACCCAAAACACACGGCCAAGGCAACAAAGGAGTGGCTCAAGAAGAAGCACATTAAGGTCCTGGAGTGGCCTAGCCAGTCTCCAGACCTTAATCCCATAGAAAATCTGTGGAGGGAGCTGAAGGTTCGAGTTACCAAACGTCAGCTTCGGAACCTTAATGACTTGGAGAAGATCTGCAAAGAGGAGTGGGGCAAAATCCCTCCTGAGATGTGTGCAAACCTGGTGGCCAACTACAAGAAACGTCTGACCTCTGTGATTGCCAACAAGGGTTTTGCCACCAAGTACTAAGTCATGTTTTGCAGAGAGGTCAAATACTTATTTCCCTCATTAAAATGCAAATCAATTTATAACATTTTTGACATGCGTTTTTCTGGATTTTGTTGTTATTCTGTCTCTCAATGTTCAAATAAACCTACCATTAAAATTATAGACTGATCATTTCTTTGTCAGTGGGCAAACGTACAAAATCAGCTGGGGATCAAATACTTTTTTCCCTCACTGTAGAAAGCTGTGAAATTCACCTTGGTGAATCTTGCTATGACTGCCTCCCACTGATTGCTGCACTGACCAGGCCAATGTGACGCTGGACAAGTTACATCTGTGTGTGATGGGATTCGCAGTCTGAATCCGAATGATATGTGGACATCAAGGAATGCTGTTATTCGAAAGTAGTCCATGTTTTCTGGTGGTTCAGGTTTCACTCGTTTTGCAGAAATGTTTAATACGTTGAGCGTTCTGGGCACGAAACACATTGCATTGTGAGATGTGTGTTTAGAATAAATGCGTAATATGTATGAGAGACGTGAATTATACAATTATTGACAAGAGCCAACTGTGCACCAATTTGTTGTCATGAATGTTAATATTCTCTGCTACCCTACGTGTATTCATGCAAGTTTGTTGAGTGATGTGCTGAAGTCGATTAACAGCGTTAATTTGTGATCTAAAATTGTAAGTCTGTACACCAAATCCATTATCTTGCACATTTTCACTTGTGTAATGTTGAATGACGTGTATGTGTGTTTGCCTGTTTGTGCATAATGAAGGTTGGGGAACAGTTCTACACATCCGCCTGTCAACAGTCGTGCAAATGTCTGAAAACAGAGACGTTGGTGTGCAACAGATATAGTTGTAGTGAAGAGGAAGTGTGCACCATCAGCAATTTCACCATCGGCTGTTTCTCCAGTAAGAATCACGAACCATAGCGTGCTTGATGAACGCTCTCTTGCTTTTTCAAGTGCGTGCTGCTGGTAGGAGGAGTATGTTTTTTCTTCTAAACAATAATCAATGAAGAGAGCCACCCTGCAGTAACTTAAGAGCACCCGACCCACAGTTGTTACCTTGAGTTTGTATGTTTGTACGCTAAACTTCTTCCGCACCGTACGTAGCCAACCGTGCTCATCGGAGGTGTGGATAATATAGACCAGGGGTTGACTCAGGCACTAATCTCTTTGGGAGTGATACAATGATCATTTGAATGAAGTGTAAAATGATTTCCCTGCGTAAAGCATGGCCCTCATCACGTGAAATTTACTTAATTGCTTTAAATCATTGGTAAGTACCACTTTATAGGGGATCCTTTTCAGATGCAAATATATTTTTTAAACATTTTTATGTATTACCGCTTTTAAATGTATATTTCATAAACTACGTAATCCGGGCCCGTTTTGGACACGGCATTTCCAGGCCATGCTGTGTAAGTCTCAATGTTTTATTTTGCAGCCGATCCATGCGCATCATCCCCTTGTCAGAATGGAGGCACCTGCACAATGGCCGGCATTGAGTACGAGTGCACCTGTCCTCCCAACTACAATGGAACGAACTGTGAAATTTCACGTGAGTGGATCCGCGTGGCTTCTGCTGTTTAACTGCAACGTACAAATTCTGCTCACAAGCAACATTACTCGATACATCTTAAAACCGTATTGTCATGATTACAGTACATTATTTAAATCTCAATATTAAACAATTGCCTTACAAACATATGTCAACTTTTACACGTGCATAAGTAATTGATTGATCATTTGATGACATGTGCAGCGAGTACCAGACACAAACCAGGCTGTCTCTTTAAGGCTGTTGCCAACTTTGTCTTTTCTAAGAGTACTGATCCAGTCTAAAGCCACAAAAACAGCAAGTCTTACCTCGTGCTGCAGTAACAAACTGAAATGCCGGTCCATTCAGGGAGCCCATGTTTTGTAAGGGTATTCTAATGTACAAAGAAATAGACGCAGAGAAACATGCAAACACAGACATGCACGTTTGGTGATCACACTCACACCCTCACATTTTAATACACACGTGCTCATCGCACTGGTAAGCAGGACAATGTTAATTTCCACAAAAAATAGATTTTTGGAAGTATTTAAATTGTAAATCTTGTCAAAAAACTATGCATATCTGGCCATTGGTAATGGTGAGTTGCGTGGTTTCATAGCGATTGGTTTAGGAGCTTTATAGTTTTCGTGATGGTATGTGAACTGTACTCGCACAGACAGACCAATCTAATATTAACTAAACATAGCAAGGCGTAGCCTGTAGGCTCCTGAAGAGTATGCTGCTCACTAGCAGTGCGGAATAGAGAATGTGTAAGCATCCAACTGCAGCTCCACCTGACGTACGTTAAAATGAGACTAACTACCTGGTAAAGTTGCTAGTGACGTGTTGGCAATAGTGTACAAGCACAAATAACAAAACCTCAATGCATTCATCAACAACACTGCCCTGGAATAAAAATTGGTGGCTTTGTGTTCTGGCATTGTCAACGGTGGAGTTGAATTGCATATTCACCATGCCTCTCTTGCAGTGGACCCGTGTGCGTCAAACCCCTGCCAGAATGGAGGAACCTGCATGGCAACGAATGACAAATTTGAGTGCAAATGTCCAGCAACGCACAACGGGGCCCTCTGCGAGATTCTGGGTATGTTTTTAAATGTGTGTTTTGTCTCCATCAACTCATTGATCGAGGATGCTGCTTTGTGGACACTGCATACCCAAAGCTGCTTAATTGGCTACTTCGTTATTCAATTTGTGAATAAAACCAAAAAGGATGTGGGGAAAGGAACTAAAATTCTCAACAAAGTGTTCCTCTTATATTCTTAGTTTTTTCGGTAAAGTCACGTTGAAGAGAAACAACAAAATAACAATATATATAAAACAATAAATAAATAAAAAATAAAAAACCCCGTGACTTTACCGAAAAAACTAAGAATATGAATTACTGCAGTCACGAAAGCTTTAAATCAAAATTTAAAGTGTTCCTCATCAAATATTGTCAGAAATGTTATGAATAATTTGTAAAACAAGAAACATTTTAGAATTGGTAACATGAATACATCTCAATCATTAAAATTTTAACATATAATAGATGTACATTTTTTATCATTATCATTGTTACCATAACTATCAATTCTCCATAATTTTCATTAGCAGCAAAACAATTGTTCCAGATAATTTAATTCCTGTATTCATTATCAAGTCTATTGATATGATCTTTTCCACCGGATTGAATTCACATGGCCTTATTTATTTTGTGGTTAATTTTTATGCGTGACATTTGGACCTGAACATTACACGCAATGGGCAGTTTATTTTCAATTAATATTATAGGGCATTTGATCTTCACCTTAATGAAGTAGCTGTGCCTTGGTAATTCCCTGCAGTTTTCTCTTGACCTATTATCCAATAACAGTGATAATGGATTGTCAGAATCCGTGTATATATTCCTACTCTGTAGGCTGAACTTGATTAACATGAAAATGTATCAACAGTACCTCGCCCTGTGTCCATACAGAGGATTGATATTTAAATCATAGGAATTTTCAGCAGTAAAGCTTTGCCCGTCAGTCGGTCACATTTGCGCAAATTTATATTGATGGTGACCTTAGAGAAAAGGACCACGTTGCACTTCCTATGCCAATAAAATAATAATTATGAAGCACCTTTCAGACACCCCGCATGACAATAACCCAGGGAATTAAACACTGAGATATGGGAAATTAATAAAATAAATGATAAAAGCCATTTTTTTTTATTAACGCAAAGTTGAATAAGTGGAATTGTATAGATAGCATTTAAGACGTGCCTTAGAAATGTCCAAAGACTCGGATAACCTGATATCTCGTGGGAGAGAGTTCCAGAGTCTGGGGGCTGCCACATTGAGAACATCTCGGTCGGGGAATGCAGAGAAGATCTGCATTCCCAGATCATAGAGACCTTAAACACAACTAATGCCATCATCTTGGCGAAATGGACGTCATTAATTCGAATCCAGATATAATGAACAGAGATAAATGCCAAGAAAATCTCTTCTAAGGGCCAGAAAGCAATCGGATGAAGTCTTCAAGTGAAACCAACTTCCTGGCCATCAACCTGAGGGAAAAAACGTTGACGTCATCGCCTTAGAGGAAGCGCACGTTGATGACAGCGTGCTGATGGCGAGTGACAAAATAATTGGTTGCACTCTTGTTGCTGCCATCTACCACCCTCAACGTGGCCTCCTCGCCACCTTCAACAGGAAAAATAAAAGACAAGCCGCCACATTGGAACCATGGCCATGCAATACAATCTGTGGATCTTATCGTAGGTCACTGTGGTCTGCCCTCCTTCAATGGAGGAACAGTGCAACTACACGAACTCTCCTGAAGCCCACTTGTGGTTAGCAGACCTCGACATTGGCATTGAGCTCCTGAAAATATTGCTCCTATATGCGAGAATGAAATAGAAACATTGAGGGGACATAGGTATAACGTGTCTCTGATGTAGGCTGGGGTGAGGTAGTTAAGTGCTTTGTGCATTAGCAATAGGATTGTGAATTGAATCCTTTGTGAAGCTGGAAGCCTGTGCAGTCAGCCCAACAATACATTGCAATGTAATATGTATTATATTGGTCGACGGGAAAGCTCTGTGGTTGATGCCAAGGCATTTAACAATGCTGTGTTTTACAGTGGACCTGTGCGCTTCGAATCCTTGCAAGAATGGAGGCACGTGTACAGTAGAGGATGGCGTGCTTGTGTGCCAGTGTCCTTCCTCCTACACTGGAAAATACTGCGAGAAAAAAGGTAACCCACACGGTGAAGATAATTAAATAATGCTGCTGTTCCATTGTGGAGTGCGCCATGTTACATATACCATTACCCTTGATGCAATTTTTATTTTCTTGACAAAGTGATGGGCAATGCAGTAATTAAGTTTACTAAGTCTCGTTAAGTTGATATTTACAATGCTTTTCAGTAAACTCACCTCATATAAAATGTTTAGGAAGTGCTTTGTCATGAAATATTAATACTTAGAGCCCTGAGCCGGCACCACTGACATCCTTTGCAAACGTACTTTCAAGTGAATGTTAAGTTCAGCAATAATAAGCTGATTATATACTAAAAACAGTGATACAGGGTTAGTCTTTCGATTTAAAGCTTTCGTGACTGCAAGGATTCATCTTCTTTGGTTCTTTCGGTAAAGTCACGTAGAATGAGAATAAAATACGTGACGTTACCGAAAGAACCAAAGAAGAGGGTTAGTCTTATTTCTGAAATACATTGCTTCCCACACTCAACGTATCATGTCCTATTCCTCAACCATAGCCAAAGGATTTGCACAATTGGTAACTTGTATTTGTTCGTGATATAATATTTCAGTTGCCTACTTTCAACAGTCTTGATGCACCACAGTGGTTCAGTATTGTAAACATTTTCTGTGGTTTTCACCGAGTAACGATGTTTTTCATTGAAACTTTGATGCACTTTTGCTCAAGAAATAATATGACCTCGTGATTCGATGCTGAATCGTGCTTGGTATATGTTCCGTAGATAATACCATCACCATCGTCATCGCTGTGGTTTGCTCTGTTGGAGGAGTTTTGATCATTGCCGTCATTGTTTTCGTCGTCTACAAAAGAAAACGATCCAGGTCAGTACTAATAACTCGTAAAGCCTTTGTGTCTTTCTTATAACTCGTTTGCGATTCTATCATCCGTATCGAATGGGGGGGGAAGGCATTGTCTATTACCTGGTTGCTCCAAGGTCTTACAGACCCCCACCCTGAAGGCTCCCCTAATCCCACCGCCACACCTCCCCTGAACGTGGCGCGCTCTTTTGACATCTGGCGCAGCGTGCAAACCCCGGCCATTATTCCACCGTCACTGTCTTGCTTTACCCATCTCTTAGGAGAGGCAGCCACAGATCCCGGGGCACACCTAGAAGGGTGCAGGTATCGGCACTATTGGCGATATCCCGAATATAGATAAGCGGTTACACACCTTCTGAGACCTTCAACAATGAAGTATTAATACAATAACATTAAACTGTGCACAGTCACTCCGGAGGAAAATTACTCCCCCATTCTGAGATCTGGAACTCTGCCTTGTCTAAAATTATAAGAAATCACACACTTTACTTTGCATTGGCAACACATCCCAACACTCGTTTATTGCCTGCAAATACTCAATTCTCCTGAAGAAGAGTTCTGAGACTTCATGAGGCATTACTGGGTTAACAATTGTCATCATAATAATAGACTCACCCAATGTGGATTCCATACCAGTGCTGTATATCAGGTGTTATGTTGTTCCGATTCACGTATATTGGAATACAAAACAATACAAATGTCACCGCACTGTGGGAAGTCAAAAGTGTTGTTTCTGTGGAAATATTAACCACAAGCCAAAGGGGCAGTGCCATGGCCAAGCAGTAGTATGTTTTCTGTAAGGGATTCGTGGCACGAGCCCGTGTAGCTAGGCTGGTTCACACTGCAGGTGCTTCACAGTGTCATTGTCACACTGCAGGTGCTTCACAGTGTCATTGTCCTGATTTTATTAATTACTTTCGCATTAGTTAATTGGGACAAATAACATCACAAACGTCACTCCCTCCTGGTACACTGATGCCCATTTGCAGACTCTGGCTGCGTACACCCCCTATACACACACAGGGATAGCTGCCGCTGGTGGGGGTTCCCTTGGCTAGGCTGCAGCGGGGGGCACTGGTTGGGATGAGATGTACCGCTTGTCGAGTTCTTCACCACCAACACCCCACAGCCTTCCCTTCTACATAACTGACCCAAGTTGTGTTGTAGTTTATTAATATTTTATTGAATGCTATTGCAAGCTTCCTCCAAAATAACTACATTTCATACACAACGAGTGATTCACAATTCGATTAATTTAGTTTCTCAGCTAATCTATTGGCGTATTGGCTCATGATGTGACAACTTGATTTAATTGTGCTCTGTCGGGTGGTTGAGGGTTATAGTTAAAACTGACATTCTACTTACACAATCTCGAAAGCCTGCGTATAAAACCTACATTGGAAATATTAAATTTCCAAAGGCACAAAACACCAAAGTAACGCATTGTTATCTGTTTATATGCATGTTTTGAATTGTATTATTATACACTACATCCCATTGGTGTAAACAAAGTCTCACGGGATAACAATCCGTTTTCCCAGGTCCTGGAAGATATTAACAGAGAACTAAGGATAGTCTCCCACTAACGGATGTGGAATTTACACAACTGACTCTGGATCATCAACAGATGAGAACCTGCCAAATTATATTGATCATGACCTACTAACTCTTTTTATATATATCTTATTACATACAAGCTTCTCTTAATATTTAAACCTCGGGCTCACTGGTTGCACTTGAACCATGTTACTGAACGTATATATAGATATATCTTATTACATACAAGCTTCTCTTAATATGTATACCTCGGGCTCCCTGGTTGCACTTGAACCATGTTACTGATTGTACAAGAGTCAAAGTAAGCTACCGGCTTTCCTTGGCTCTACTTATGTTACTGACTAATCCAGGTGGACAATGTGCTTAATCAACTATTATTTAAATAAAGTGAGTAAAATGTTTTTCATAATACACTTTGAAAATGTAAAATATTTTCAAAGAGCTGCAAAAAACGTTTGCAATAAACATTGCAGTCAAAAGTAGAAAAAATATTATCACCGTTGTTTAAGCATTGTGCACCTGAACTGCCATGAATTTACCTCACTACCTCTGTTTCTGGTATATTGTGTAAGGTCACTGACTACTCTATTCAAACACGTTGCTTGGTCTCAAAATGGGTTGGTAATACACGCATGTGGTGTTACTGTTTGTCTATATCGGTGTACCAATTGCAACTGTGGTTCTGAAAAATCTTCACTTCCGTCGGATCTGACTTGAACTTTGTTTGGCAGGGGAAAGCCACACCATTCTGAGCTTGAGAATGATTCAAGCGAATCGGAAAAAGACGACGTTGCATTTGATCATGTTTACTACAATGAAGACGGGGATACTCATGACTATGAAATAAACGATCCTGGGAAAGATGAAATGACTGAGGGAATCCCCTTGGACGTTTCAAGTGTTGATTTGGCTCAATCTAGCTCGGCAGGATTGTCTGTAAACGATACTTTATCTGACACGAATTTGGGTACGAATGAATGCTTGTTTTCAACAGAGTTGTAGTTCGTATGAGTCTGTAATTGGATAGACCAAATACACGTTTAACACTAAACAGCAGAATGGCAATACACAAGTTCTAATGGTGACTCGGAAGGTCTGTTCCAATCATTAAGTTCATATATTATTTTCAATGTAAATACAATTGTCCGAGCACAAATGTATACAAAATTTTAAGTCTGACACAACTGGAATATTTGTTTGCATTTCTGTTGCACTGTTGCATTGAAAATATAAGCACACCTTTTATCATCCAATATGTGCCTTCTGTTTTAAATGCCTTACAATGTGTGATGAATTAGATACTATTAAAATTAGGTTTTTAGTAAAAAGTCAAAAGCAATATAATTCATATTCTTTGGGTCTTTCGGTAAAGCTACATAGATAGAAAAAATAATAAAAAAATATCACGACGTTTCGATCGAAACACAAGCAATCATCATCATGTGAAAAGATAGTGGGAGAGCTGCTGAGACAGGATGTTAAAGGTTTGAGATGAGTGTAGCCCAAGGTTCATAAGCGAAGTGGGCGGGGCTAATGATGAAATTTGCATGTCAACGTAAGATCGGGTAAATCGGAGAGCCACCTCCACAACGACGAAGCTGCAGAGGTGGCCATTGTATTGTGAGCAATGGTGGCTGTGTTAGTGAAACATTTAACCTGTTAATGTAAAGACATTTTACTTGTCAATGTAACACCAGAGAGTCGAAAATAACTATTAACATCGGATGTTATGACCCTTGGACTATACCCATCTCAAACCTTTACAACATCCTGCCTCAGCAGCTCTCCCGCTATTTTTTCACCTGATGACGATTGCTTGTGTTGCGATCGAAACGTCGTGATATTTTTCTAATTTTTTTCTATCTACGTGGCTTTACCGAAAGACCCAAAGAATATGAATTCCTGCGTGTGGACAACTTTCAGAGTGGTTAAGTGGGGTTAGACTATGGAGTAATTTTGTATTTTTGTAATGGAATCTGTGCAACTTTACCTACAAAATACTTTAAAACCATTTTTGCCAGTGTCCGCTTGGTGTTACTCATTCTGCTTTGAATGCTGTCCGAATTATAAAATAAACCAAGTGACTTAGGGGTCCTGATCCTGCAGTACAGCAAGGTTCATAAACATGGAATGTTAATTCAGATGGGAACATTTTCACGAATAAAATCCGTTTTCCACATTGTTGTTGATGGCCACTATGATGTATCGCTACTTATGAGAAACACATTTGAGCAAATACAAACATGCCATAATATTCAGATATGATGATACATTTATTTTTCATAATACATTCAAAGAACCCACAGAAGCCATTTGATGCTAGTTTATAGTAACATTCACCTCGCACTGGAGCAACAATGCTTAGCCTGTCTAATGATGTGCACAATATTCTCTTATATTAACATAAAAACATTACCATCTTTGCAACCAACTAAACAAATCCACGTTTCCGTCATTTCACCCTCCTTGCACAAGTAAAGATGCGACTTCCAATATAGAGTTGCACATCCAGCAACGATAATCCTTGCTCGTCATGTCAAGAGGTGCTATTTTAATTTCAAGTCATATGTGTCAACATAGAGCAGTCGATTCCCTCAAATGCACCCATTTTACACAGGATATAGTTCAGTGGATCATTAAAGGTATATGATGCATCACGCTTGTGTCAAATCCGATTACCTATTCCACCTGCTTACAGACCAGGGCTTCTGAAACGCCAGTCACCTCAAACCCACCACAACATGTGTAATTGAACGGAGATACATTTGATGAACGTGGAAATGTGTTTTAGTAATGAGCATGAAGTTTGTAAAGTGAGAAACCTCAAACACAACAGACTCGCATTAAAATCGCATTTGATGTTGTCTGTCGTAGCATAACCATACAGTACCTTGTCCTCAATCCGCAATTAAGCCACACAACCCGAGGTAATCTCTAGCAGCTACAGCCATGTTATCTATGCATCATGCACGCACTTCACTTGATCGAAAAATATCAAGATCGCTACTGAAGTCAAGATGTTTGCATTGTTTTTTTTGAAAGCTACAATATTATGCACTCGCCAAATGTGTTTTATTTTCAAGGATAAATTCACATAGCATTAATTGATCCATGTGCTCGTTTTTTGCGTCTAGCCAGTATGATGAAATGTATACCAACTGCAGAACATGAAAACCGTGTATAACTTCAGATGTTCCGACGAATCTGTTTAGTTTTCCATCTCACAAATTATTGCACATACTCCATATGCCTTGGCCTCAATATTCTTACATGCAAACTTGATTATGGTCGACTGTACTGTTTTAAAATATGTTTTTGAAACCACAATAAAACTCCATAAAACTGTACCTCTCTGAATATGCCATCGGTGTAAAGTGATCAGAGAGAGGCCTTTACAGAAGGAATTGCAATTGACAAGAACCTCTGAACAAAAACAATGTTACAAAGATTGGCAGATGCACAAGAGGGATTCTGCGAAATCATAAAATGACTGAGCTCAACACCATTTCAAGTTTCACTTTGCAAAACCTGAGGCAGGACTGTGTTGTAATTAGGTATGATTAATGTAATGTCATAATTTGTCAAATGTTACAAAATAAATCGATTTTGCATTCCAGCTTTTTTCGCAGTTTGTCTTAATGATGTCATTAAAGCAATCTTTGAAATAAGTCCTGGGTTTATTTGCTCATGCATTCTACCCCCTTCGTATTTCATGTCTGAGATTAGTTTGAAACGATGTCTATAATGAGTTTGATCCTACTGCTGTATAATGCAGAAACAACCCCGTGCAGCCAAAGTGTTCAGACATAATTATTCTCCCTAGTCTTTTATTTGTTCATCATTTTATGCAGTATCTAGACTTAAAACAACACAATTGGAGATGGCCAGGGTACTTATGAGCCTGAGCAGTGAACGGATACTGCTGAGATTTTGGGTTTCAATTTTGGTTGGCAATGGGTCCACGATTAAACCAAGATCTCAAGAACGAATTGCACAAAAAAACATTACAATCAGTTCATCACATGGTACATTTCCAGATATGAGAATGTTTTCGGGGTTATACATCCATGCGCCAAACATCTCTGTAGATTAAAAGGTTTACTTGGGATTTTGAAATTATTTTATATCTCTTGTGAGCCATTCTCTAACAGGGCAATGAAATGCTCTGTTGGCATTCAATTACAGTATAACAATTTTTTTGTGCTCCTGGGCAGTGTTATTTCCTCAATTATGCCTCAAAAGTACAGAAAATGGCTATTATTCCCCACAAACTTTGCTTTTGTGACAAGGACAGTGATATTTTTAAATTTACCTATTTTCCAGAACACTTCAGATAGATTCAGTGCTGAGTAAACTTGGAGTAACTTCTAGAACATTCTAGAACTTTCCAGTAATATGAATAGAAGTATAAAGACAGAGGCCTTAAGCCCACCAGTTTATGCAAACCAACACACCTGAAGACGACCGTTTGAGTTATGGTCGAAACGTCGTGAGAATTTTTTATTGTTTTATATATATTTTATTATTTTGTTGTTTCCCTTCAACGTGACTTTACCGAAAAAACTAAGAATATGAATTACTGCTGTCACGAAAGCTTTAAATCAAAATTTAATCGCCTCTACGGGGAGCGTTTTCACATAACTTTAAGATCCTTCAACAAACTCCGGGATAAGAAAGCTCAGCTGATCGAGTCTCTCACCTTCCTGAAGAGATGCCGCGACTCTGGGGTAATACCAATCGCATTTACACTGACCTCTGCTGCTGTAACTTCTTCTAATGCGAAACGAATTCTTTTCAAAACTAGCTTAGCTCTTATCTCAGAAAAAATCAGACTTATACGCACAGAACTAGATCAGTTAGACAAGACACTCTACAAATCACACTTATCATTGACAGCAGTAATGTCCACATCGGATTGGGAACATGTAGACAATATGACTGCCTCTTCAGCTGCTACTATGTCGACCAAATGTAAGGAAAACCTGATTTCCAAATTTAACCTCCTCTTCAACAAAATATCGGACCCACACACCAAAAAGTTAGACGTTAACAAAGTCGTAATTAATCGCAGAAACAGTTCTATTTCCGATGGTCTGAAATCCGTTTTAGCTAAAGGTCTAAACTTTGCAGTCACACCTAAACACATACCAGTTAATGATATTATTGCCCAAGTAGACGTTGCTCTCAGGGGCCTGGGTCACATCGCTGCAGACGTAGCAAGATCTGAAATCGCTGCAACCCTCAAAAACGCTAAGATGCCAGCTAGCAACCTCAGCAAAGATGAGCGTTTTGAATTATATAAATTAAAAAAGAGGAATGATATTGTAGTCCTCTCAGCTGACAAAGGCAATGCTACTGTCATCATGGATAAAATAGAATACAACAACAAAATTAAAGAATTACTCGACGATGGTAGTTATACAAAAATAAAAAGAGATCCCACCAACAGCCTCGTCACACAAACCAACAAAATAATTTCTGATTCAACCGCATTAATTGATCAATCTAAACAGTTTTCGTTGAAACCTTCTGCTGCCAGGCCACCAAGATTATACGGCTTACCAAAAATACATAAAGTAGATACACCCCTTCGTCCCATAGTCTCTACTATCGGCTCCCCCACCTACAAACTAGCTCGTTTTTTGTCTGAAATCCTGCGTCCTTTCACTGGAAAGACCACCTCTGCGGTACAAAATTCTACTCACCTGGTATCGACAATCAAGGGTGTTTCCCTGTCCCCAGACGACCTGCTTGTCAGTTTTGATGTAGTTTCCTTATTCACCAAGGTTCCTGTACCTGACACCATTGCAATCATTGAAGACTTGGTTCATCACGGACTAAACACTGAGGTACCCCCCCCCCCCTGGTGAGACACTGTTTAACCAATACATACTTCACTTGGAATGGAACTTTCTACAAACAAACTGAGGGCACCCCAATGGGCTCCCCCCTTTCTCCAGTTATAGCTAACATTTTCATCGAGAAATTTGAGACTGACGCCATCCAGACTGCCACTCTGCGCCCAACCTTATGGAAGAGGTACGTGGATGACACTTTTGTCATCTGGCCACATGGCCGGCCTGCTCTAGACCAATTCTTCGACCACATCAATTCCATACACCCAGCCATCAGATTTACCATGGAAGTCGAAAGAGATGGCAAGATACCTTTTTGGATGTCCTAATTAAAAAGAGACCTGATGGTTCAATGAGGCACTCTGTCTACAGGAAAGCTACCCATACGGATGCTTATCTGAAACCGAATTCCCACCACCATCCATCACAGAAGAATTCTCTCATCAAGACTCTGTATCATAGAGCCCAATGCATATCCGACCAGGAACACATAAGCAGTGAACTCAAGCACGTACACCAAGCTCTTAGGGCTAATGGTTACTCCGACTATACAATCCGCAAAGCTATCACTCAAACCATGAAGAAGAACCCTCTTGAGGAGCCTTTCAA